AGAGGTTGTCAAGAGCGCCGGGTCGAAAGGCAAGAAGACAGCAGGTGGAAAAAAAGCGACGTCGGCTAAGAAAGGACGTGGCAAGCCTGCAGGCGACTCTCCAGACAGTGCAGATGGTGTGGATGGAGATGATTGAAAAGCGCATCTAGTGGCCGAGTTTTCGAGATCCATTTATCGCCGCAAGATTCCCCTTCACCCGCCGATAGCAAAACATGCGCTGAAAACTGCATTGCAGCTCAAAAAGCGTCGTGATAATGATCGAGAATGACGGCACAACAAACGACGATAGTCCCCGCTGCTCAAACATTGCAACGCCATGTCATTGAAAAGGTGATAAAAGTGGCAGTCGTCCGAGAGACGAAAGTGTACAAAGTCTTGCGCATCAAAACATTCCGGAACGGGGAATCGAACCCCGGGCTGTCGCGACATCGTCACTCTGGGAGCGGGATGTGAGAGGCGACAATGTTAACCCCTACACCATTCCGGATCGGAAATATTGCGCTGAAAGCAATCTCAACCGACAATTGAGTAGTTGGTAGCGAGATCTTTCAGAAGAACGTCTGTTGATCCCTTCATCCACCCTGTCCTCAACTAATCTTGTGCGCATTTCATCATTCACAGCCTGCTCTTCGTCTTCCGGTTGAAAGTCCGGGTGGGTTAGAAGCCGAATCCCTGACCGATGCCGGAATATTGATGCAGGAGAATTTATGCCGTGAAGCAATGCGGAACGGTGTGGACGGTCGACTTTGAGCCACGGCGGCCATCATTCCATGCCAGATTTCTAGTTGCCAGAAGCCCTACCGGATGTGAGAATGTAGACAAGGCCCCAACTTGTGATTGCACGAACACGGGCGCACGCAGAAACCGGTATGAGCCAATCACGGTTTCAGACGAGGAGTGTGACTGGATCGTGAAACGGATAATTTGATTGTACCTCGGGATTGTTGGACGTCGAGGAAGTGGTGTATTCCTGGGATGCTCAATAACACGGATCGATGGGCGGAACCCAGAAGCAACGAGCCGTTGGGGGAGCTCTCAGACTTCTGCGGCCCCAATTGCGCCGTCATCTACCGACATGCCGGGTTTCTGAGATTCTTGCCTTGACAATAAGATGCGAGCCACACCCTGAGTATGTCATCGCTGCTGTGTAGGACCGTGATTGGTAGGACCGTGATTGGTAGGTCAGTCCCCGTTACGAGAGGCAAGCAAGCTCGGGCCAGGCCACGGCCCCGAGAGTTCGTATGAGACAAGGTTTGGAGAACTGACCATGCGTCGAAGGTCAGAACAGCACAGCGCATCGAGGAGGAATCGATGTCTGTAGATAGTGTGGGACTGCGTGGGTGGACGAAAGCAAGTTCAGATGTCACGCGGTGGGTGATGCGATCAGAACCACTGTTTCTCCACCATCTAGACGAGTCGAGATCGTGTTTGTCGCGCCTTCGTCCACGGTGTTCCGAGCGGACATCACTCGCAGAGATTCATGTATCCAGCACACGTCCGACGGAAATAACAGCACCTGCGATCACGTTCATCTTCGCCACTGCGCCGATGCGATGCATCGGGCGCATGGCCGTCATGGATCATGATCTGCTGGGGCTTTGCAAGCGCGGCATCTCTTGTCTGCACAGGTCTCGGATGTTTCGCGTACGAGATCCAAGGTGCGAGTTACGTCCGTGTCCCTTATAGAGACTTGCCTCTCGCTCTAGTCAAAGCCCCATCGAGCACTTATTTTTGGACGGCGAACTCACCAATGTCATGGGTGAGTCAAAGTCGCTATGTGACGTTCATAGATATATAGATATGTATACATTCGCGATCTCCAAGGCAATCGAGACCACCACGTACATATATATCGCGTCCAGTAGAGAGGCGGTCGAGAATCCCACCCGCCGTCGGGGCACGGAGGAGTGTGTTAATACTGATGGAAATCGACGTCCGGCGGCGGCCTAGGCTGTCTACGGCAGCAGCTAGCGATGTCCCCGATACCCACTCGAATCACTGCGCGAACCGAGCAAGCAGGCAGCGTGATCTCTCCTTCCCGAGCCTCCGTGCGCACCGCCGGTTCTCGTGGGCACGGACAAGCAGGCTTGCAGCCAGGAATAGTCGGGCGATAAGACGGAGAGGTGGGAAAAGGGCAGACGCGGGGATGAACCAGCGAGGGCTGAGCTTGGGAAAGGCGACAGGCAGAGATGGATTCGCGGCGAGCGGCGAACTCTGGTGCCGTCATCGTTGGTCACAACGAAGTCTGTCCCATTGATCGGGGACAGCATAACCTTAAACGGGCAACTCGCTGACTGAGGAAATGCAGACGGCGGCGAATGAGGGCACAAGGAACAGCCCTCCCGTCACCCACCAACGCAGATCGACCCGGAGAGGAGGTCCGCTGTGATTCCCATCAAATCTGGCCAGTGGCATTGCATCCACCCCACGTCCATCTACGTACTTGACTTCTTAGCTGTTCTCTTCCATGTATATCTTCCCTTTCTCCTCTTCCCCTTTCCCTTCTCACCCCTGCCTGTTCGCATGTCGTCGCGCCTCTGCTCAGTCCCGCCCGAAATCCTCGAGCACATTGCCTACCAGCTCGCGTGCAGCACATTTCTTGGCCCCCCTGCCTCTCTCATTCCGCTCCTTTTGACATGCAAGACGGTGCACAAACGTCTATCCCAAAATTCCGTCCTTTTCGCCAGGATCTTCCGCTTCAAATTCGACTCGGCCGCCGTCCGCCGTCGCGCGTTCATCCCCAATCCGAAACAGTGCCACGACCAGCTCGTCCTGTACTGCTCGCAGCTGCAAAAGCTGCGGTGCCAGCCCCGGGAAGACGAGTGGGACGACGTGCTGTTCTTTACGTATCTCATGATGCTTGAGAACGATGGACGGAACGCGGCTCAGCTGCAGCATGCCGGCCTGGACTCGTACCTGGACATTTTTGTCCGGTCCCGGATGTGGAACGACAGGGGTGGTGCACATGGTTGGCCGACGGAGAATGTCGCGAGCGCGTGTGCTTTATGGCTGGTCTGGATGACCACGACTAGAGGTGCGTGTGGCCGGAGGCTTTTGCGTGTGAAGCCATCCAGTTCTCACCCCGCCCCCCTTGCGGTCTCCTAGAAAAGCTGCAGAGCGAATCCCCCAGCCGGCGGCTCCAGATCATTAGGCTCGTCCTTCCTTACGTGCTCGTGCCGTTCCGTGTAAGCCTGGGTCCCGTTCTTACCTACACTGTCCGCACGCACTCACACGCCGTCACCACACACAGTACGCCTCGACCTTGGCCCCCCAGCACCACTTCGACCTACCGCTACGCACGAACCCGAGGAATAGGCTGCACTCGATCGTCACTGCGCATGGGCCGTACCCAAAGTACCTCGACCCGAATCGCATGTGGTCGCAGGTGCACTTCTCCTCCCGGCCGTCGATGATTCCTCCCCTCGCTACCGTCGCGGCCAAGCTCATCTACTTCTCGCGACGCGAGGTCGTTCCGTTCGGGATTCCCCCGCATCTCCCGTTGACGCGCGCGCATGCTATCGCGGCGGGAAACACCAATATTGGTCCCAATCAGGACGATATCCGAGAGTTCAATGACCACCTCAACGAGCGCATGCCCGAGCAGGACTCGACGCTGTGGGACAGCGACTGGTGGCGGCTGCGTCGGTGCCTAAGCGCCTGGCAAGCTCCGGATGGCCAGTACGGCGAGGGATATGTCCCCGGCACGCTGACGGGGCTTTGGCAAGGTCGGATGGTGGTCCGTGTGCTGTTTGCGACTTCTGTTTACAATTCCGTTGACACTGTCTCCAGGTCCCCGGCGAAGATCACCTCGCGGGTCTGATCACGACAGTCGAGTATCCCCTCGGCTTTGACGAGACCGCGGTAGGAACCACCACGGTTCCGCTCTACATGCGTATAGCGGAGCACCACTCGTACGCGCCCCACTCCCCGGCACCGCTCGGCCACTCTGAAAATGATGAGGCGAGGGACGACGGGATGAGAAATGCGTTTTTCCCGCAGGACACGCGGTTTATTTCGGAGGCGGGGGGCGTCACTGTTCGCGTGGACGACGACAGTTACTGGTATGCTGACGCGAGTGACCCGCAGGCTCATGAGGCGGACACCTGTGTCGGCTGCCAGGAGCGCGAGCGCCGTCTCAAAATGCACCGGGAGCGGGCCTCGACCGAAGCTTACCACGAGCTACTTGCCAGAATCAGTCCGAACGCTGTTCACAAGCAGCCGCCGTCACCGTCCCACTCCGAGAGCAGCAGCCAGAAGGTGGACCCCCCTGACCACGATCCCGATCGAGTGAAGCCATGCACTGGCATTCAGGACATCATCTTCACGGGTGCTGTGCGCTTCTGTTCTCTTCCGCTGTTTCCCTCGCTCATTTCGGTGTGCAACAGACCGACATGCGGCACGGCGAAGCGTGGAACCCATTCAAGTTCCATGGCCGGCTGCGTCCTTGGGATGGAATGATTGGGATCCTGCGGACTTCGGTGCGTGTGCCTATCTGCTCTGAGAAGCCCAGAAGAAGGAGAAGACTGAGCAGTGTGATTATTAGCCTGATCCGCGGATGGGCACGTTGTTCTTCTACGGATATCTCGTCGGCAGGCACAAGTTTGTCGGCAACTGGAGGTCGGCTATGCAGGACCCAGACGCGCCGGCGTACGAGGGGGCGTTTATCATGACCCGACGCGAAGACGAGTGAGAAATCAAAATGTGACATACTCAACGTGTATTGTACTGTATTGAGAGTAGTTTGGTGCGCGCCTCCATGAATTTACAGGTTGGTTCGTGTTTGTGTCCTTCAAGCTCAAGCCCTTCCGATCAACGTCGTACAACCTTGACGTGCGCGCCTCCATGTACAACTGCCCAGTGTCAAGTGCAACGTGGTATCACGTCCGTGAACGTTTCAGCCTCTCCACATCGGCGATTTTCAGGGGCCTGACCACTCTGCCTTCATGATCGTTGTCAAAGCTTGGGCGTATAAGCAGTGGTTTTTGAACGGGCCGAGGGCCACCTCCCCGCGTCCATCTCCACTCTATGAGGGCGGCGTTCTGGACGTTTCCGCTCTTGTGTTCATGCGGCCTTGCTGCGGCTCGGGCTGCCCCCCCTCGGCCAATCGCGCTCGAGAAGCGTTCGCCCGCCGAGCCCGATAACTTCAATATCAGTGCGTCTATGCGCAACCCCCCTCCTTTGCTTGGTACTGAAAGCTCACGTCCCAGCTATCTACCACGTGAACGACATACACGCGCATCTGGACGAGATCACGACCAGCGGCACCGACTGCACCAAGCCCGCGAGCGGGTGCTACGGGGGATATGCGAGGATCAAGGCTGCTGTGGATGCCGGACGGTCTAGCGCGCAGAACTCGCTGTTCCTGAACATGGGCGACGAGTTCCAGGGCACGCTCTTCTTCAGCTACTACGGCGGCGAGAAGATCGCGGAGACGCTCAACCAGCTTGGATTTGACGCGCTCACTCTGGGTAATCACGAGTTTGACCGCGGAGATGCGTACCTTGGACAATTCGTATGGATATGGACGCTCCTTTGCAGTCGACGACGGGCTGACTTGCTCTGGGCAGCTGACGAACTTGACTATCCCGATCGTCTGTGCCAACGTCGACAGCCAGGACGAAGCCATCAACGCCACCGTGAAGCCGTACCATGTTTTCCCCGAGTACCGGCTCGCGGTCGTGGCTGTGACGACAGACACGATCCCCAGCATCTCGAATTCCGATCGGTCGACCGCGTTCGCTGACCCCGTCGCGAGCGCGCAGTATTGGACCGATTACGTCTACGAGCACGAGCATGTCGAGCGGGTGGTGCTGATGTCGCACATCGGGTATGCGGCGGATATCGAGCTAGCCCAGAAGACGTCGGGGATCTATCTCATCATCGGTGGGCACTCGCATACTCTTCTGGGAAGCATGCCCAACGCTGCGGGCCCCTATCCGACCATCGAGACCAATCTCGACGGGGATGAGGTGTATGTGATTACGGCGTACGTGCTGCTGCCTGTTCGCACTCGACCTGTTCACTGAATGTGCCCCCCCAAGCTACCGCTATGGAGAATATCTCGGATACATCGATGTCCAGTTTGATCCCCACGGGAAGATCGCCGGCTACACGGGAGGCCCGATCCACCTGACCAACCAGACCGCGCAGGACGCCGAGCTCCAGGCAGACATCAAAGCGTGGCGTATTCCATTCGATGCGTTCGGGAACCAGGTCGTCGGAGACACAACGGTCCTGCTCGACCACGGGCCCTGCAAGAAGACTGAGTGCAACTTCGGCGACCTGATGTGCGATGCCATGCTCGACTACCGCATTGCGCAGTCGGACGTCGTTGGGTGCGTGCTCAACGGCGGCGGAGTCCGGGTCGACCTTCCCGTAGGCAACATCACGCGCGGGGACGTCATTACCGCCTTTCCCTTTGGCAATGCAGTCACCGAGGTCTCGTTTACGGGGCGCCAGCTGTGGGATCTCTTCGCTGGCGCGGTCGCCGGTATCTCGGTGTCGAACGGCGCTGCAGTCATCTCTTGGCCACAGATCTCGCAGGGCATGCGCGTCACATACAACAGTGCTACCAAGCAGCTCGTCGACCTCGAGATCGGCCAGGGCGGGAACATGTCTTCGATTGATTTGGCCGCTACGTACAGGATCGTCACAAGCGACTACGTCGCTGGCGGCGGCGACAATATCATGCCCGTCCAGAGCGGATATGTCGTGTTAGATACTCTGGATGAGGTGCTCACAGCTTACATACAGCAGCGTGGGACTGTCAGCGAAGCGCTGCAGAACCGGGTCGTTGCAGTCTCTACTTGAACGTCCGCTTTAGGATAGCTCTTTCGCAATAGACCCAAGTCGCTCGTTGAAAGGCAAGAGGCTGAGGTTCCGATCATGTGCGAATAAAGAGCTGTCGCGTAGTCGATTGGGACGCGTAGATCGGGGCACGAGACGCTGGCGCGTGGTTTCTGTCGCGCAGCGGAGCTCGGACCAAAGCCGACAGACAGCGGTCAGCCGACCGGGAAATGTTAGCTTCGACACTTCTTAGTCGGAAATGTAGAGGGCGAGACTGCCGTCGGGGCTTGAGAGAGTGATAAGTAGAAGAGTAGGCTAATTGTTCTGGACTCGCCTCCCTTTTCATCCCCCCAGTCACGACCTGGATGACTTCAGAATCTACGCCTCTCCTGCTCAAGGCAAAGCCGTACGACACGAGTCGACGAGATTTCGCACTGTTGATGATTGGATTATGGAGGTTAGAGCCAAGATATAATATAACCACTCGGACTAGGTTTTGATCTTGATCTTGCCCACGCTCTTTGCTCTGTTGCTTCAGCCAAAGCTTCATCTCCTCGCTCGATGGCACCATCGTCGCCACGCTCATTAGCAACATCGGATCCTCTCTGGAGGCTATGCAGCTCAGCTCGTGGATCGGGACGGCCTACCTGCTCTCGCTATGCGCCTTCACGCCGATCTACGGTCGACTAGCCAACATCCTCGGCCGACGGCCCAGCGCCATCTTCGCCTCCATGTTATTCGGAACAGGGACTGTTCTCTGTGGTTTCTGTCGCACCATGTATGCTTAGAGGTCTCTCTAACTAGGCCGGCCGCGTTGCTTACGCTGCTGACAGGCCGCAGCTGATCGTATGCCGCGCCATAGCTGGGATCGGGGGTGGCGGGATGACGGTTCTGGGATCCGTGATCGTCTCGGACGTCGTACCACTCAAAAGCCGGGGGCTCTACCAAGGATGTAGGGCCGTTATCCGTCCTCGTCCGTCTGCCTGCCTGATGAAAACCCCGCAGTCACGAACCTGCTCTTCGGGCTTGGCGGAGCGATCGGCGGTCCTCTTGGCGGATGGCTCGGCGACACCGTCGGATGGCGCGCGGCGTTTGCTTGTCAAGCGCCGTTGCTCGCACTGGGCACCACTCTGCTTTTCCTCAAGGTGCGCGAACCGGAGAGCGTGACCTCCGCCGCGACGTCGACGCTCGTCGCGAAGCTCAAGCGCATCGACTATGGCGGGACGTGCGCGCTTTTCTTTACGCTTCTGACGTTCCTTGTCGGCCTCAACTACAAGACTGCGGCTGGATACGAGTGGTCGGATACGCATGTATGGGGCTATCTGGTGGCCTCGTAAGTTCTCGCTTCTGTGTCCATAGTGCAACTGTTTGATTTTGAACTTTTTCTAGAGCCTGCTTTGTTGTTGCGTTCTTTGTCGTAGAGTTCAGGCTAGCCGTAGAGCCAGTTCTTCCGATCGCAATGCTGAAGCTACGAACGCCCGCATTCGTTGCACTGGTGCGTGTTTTCTCCCCCTCGGCCTGATTTACAAGTTGACCCTGTGCCATCAGAACAATTTCCTGATCGCCATCCTGAGCTTTTCGATGATCTACTCCATTCCACTCTATTTCACCGCGGCGTTCCTCCGGACATCGAGCAACGCAGGAGCGCACCTCATCTCCAATTCCATCGGACTGTCTCTTGGGTCGCTTTTTGCAGGATGGTACATGCGGAAGACGGGTCGGTATTGGAAGCTGCAGTTCGTGTCCGGCCTGTGCGTCATCTTGGCTGCTGTATTCGTCGCGTTGTGGTATGTGTCACATCATTGCTCGCTCGAAGATGGATTGATTGCTGCAGGCACGAGAACACACCCGAGTGGTTCATGTATATCACCCTGGCACCGTTTGTGGGTTCAGAGGATGAAGCCTGCTTTTTGTCACTCACCGATTTGCAGGGATATGGATATGTTTCTATGCTCACCACAACGCTGCTTGCTCTCATCGCTAGCGTCCCTCGAGATGACATTCCGATGGCAACAAGCTGCAAGTGATTCCGCAGGGACCTCTTACTCACCTCTGACTGCTGCGAACAGTGTCCTACCTCTTCCGCACAACAGGCCAAGTTCTCGGTGTCGCACTATCTGCAGCTATAACTCAATCCCTGCTCGCGCACCACCTGCGATTGCGCATCACAGGGGAGAATGCTGAAGAAGTGGGTCCTGAGTCGGTGCCATTTTCCTCAGCGCTGACACGCTAGCCATTGTCAGATCATCTCGCGCATCCTTGACTCTACGGAGTACATTCACACGCTGCCCGACGAGCTGCAGAGAGCCGCTACGACGAGCTGGGCGCTCTCGCTGCACACCGTTTTCTACTGCCAGATCGTGCGTCCCGTGACAGGATTCCTCTTGCTATGTGATGACGTTCCTCATTGTGTCACAGGGCCTCGCTGTTTTATTGTTGCTCTCGACGCTGCCGATCCAGGAATGGCCGCTGCCCGACAAGATTGCGAGCACACCTCCGACCATGAGGCGTTCCGACTCGGAGTCCACGGTGACGCCGTGATCAATCAAGACCTGCACGCCCTCCCAGTATGTAATGTCCAATATCAAAAGTAGGCAGAGAATGGATCCCAATGACCACCGTCCGACTCGTCCTATGCTGAAGCGGAGAGTTTGCACGTGACCCGGGAATAAAAATGTAATCTGTGGATCCTCCTTTGAATGAGCCCAGTGGGCTTTTGGAAAGGATCAAATGTATCCATCTATGTATCGAGTCGTCGGCATCAGTGTTGCCATGACCAAACCGTTGCCTCACGACCTTCGAAAAGACATAAATACCTCAGCGGGAGAAGAGAGTTCTTCGATCGGATCTATTACCCATCGCCAATCACTCCGCTCTACCTACACCTGTGTAGACTGTAATCCAAGTTAGATCAGAAACGAAACGGACTTGTCGGAAATGAATTTTGATTTCTTTCTCTCGTACGAAAGAGCACGGACCTGTGACTGCACAATAAACCTCCGCCAGCCCCAGCTCGTGTCTCTGTTCTCAACACCAAATTCGTCGCGCTCGTGCTCTGAGAGATTGACATGGACAGGGACGGGCAGGCAGGCAACTGTCGCCGAAGCACGTTAACTGGTGGCGTCCCGGGCCCCGAGTTAATCAATCAGACAGAGCACGCTGCACAGCCGAATCTACGTGCAGAATTCTCTCCGACTTCCACATTCTTTGCGGGCGCGGCCCTCTGGACGTTATTCCTTTCTTTCGGCGGTCTGTCTCGCTGGGTGCTCCTTCCTGCTTGCCCGGCGCGCTGTGCCGCTCTTTCTCCCCTCCTTTTTTCTTCTCCCACTCGGACACCCACGCTCGTTCTGCTACCCGCTGCATGACCTGAGCCATCTCGCGCGCTGTGCCGGCAGAGAAGAGAAGAGAAGCGAATCCATCTCGGCGACGATGAGCGTTTGGGGCACTGTAGCTGCGGGTACTGGTGTTCTGGATTCGGAGACTCTGCAGCCATTCCCGATTGTGGCCACGCGGCGGAGCATCATTCTGACGCGCTACTCGGTTGTCGCGGTGTATTGCATCGCGGTCTGTGAATGGGTCGAAGCGTGCGTCTCTGGTCTCCGGATTGGATTGGATCCCGACTGACGCGTCGTATGCAGCTTGCCGAAGGAGGTCATTCTGGTGTGTGTCTCTAACGACAGGGAGAGAGATTGCGAGTGCTCACGCTCGAGCTCATCCAAGATCTGGCCGTCTCAGTGGAACTCAATCAAGATCGCATATTTCCTGTGCAGGTGAAGATGGAGCCTACCCCGACCACTCCCATACTGATCCTTCAAATGTGGAGATATTATACTATCGTGCTTTGGCCCATCGTCATCTACGCATATGACCTCAACCACTCCATCCAGCTATGTTCGCGTCTCATGCTCGTGATCAACTACATCCTTTTGCCCATGGTGCGCACCATCCTTCTCCTCCATTATCTGTATCTTAGCCCCCCAGCAATGTTTCGCTCACGCCGTCATGCTCATGCGCGCTTATGGCTTTACCGGGAGAAATTTCAAAGCGCTCATTCTTCTCTGCACATGCCTCGTCGGCCTCGTCGGCGTGAACATCTGGTTCTTCTGCATAGACGTGCCCAAGCTGCCGGACGTCGTGTATGTCGTGCTGGGGGCCGGCTGTTTCCCAGACTACGCGGCCGATGTGAGCGATCTGCGGGTTGGACTGGAGATGGTTAGTGGGTCCTGAGTACCTGCGCACGCGTCTGACCCACAAGCTTCAGGCAGCTGCCATATTCATGGATCTCGTGTCTTTGCTAGTCATCATCGTGGTGAGTGGACGAGCGCCTGGCCGTATCGTCCGAATTCCGACCTGCAACGTCAGTATCGCATTCGCAAACGCGATCTTCAAGGTTCCCTGAGTCGAGCATTCCTCAACCAAGGTTAGTCTTCTTGGCAAAGTCTTGCCCCCGCTGACCGCAACAGGCCTGTCAGCCTTTGCATTCATGGTGGTAGTACACGCGACCGCTATCGGGTCTTACTACAAGTCAGTCCGACCGATTCACGGCAAGGGACTGAGACACCCTCTGACAGTTCCTAGTCCCCGCCTGCTCCACAACGGCATGGGCCTGCCATACATCCTGATCCTGTCCAACGTCATGGCCTGCAGAGTGTGCGTGGCTCGGCCATCTCCCCTTCCCACAGTCTTCTTCACACAGCCCCCTCCGCAGGATTCTTGATCTGCGGAACAAGGCCCGCCCGACCGAAAGCGAGATCGAGCGCCAGCATTCGGCACTGATCGAGGACGAGCTGGCAAACTACCAACCCGAAAGCGGCGTGGCGGCATCCGGGGACTAAACTGCGGCACGGCCGGCCCTGGTTCAAGGGTTCCTTGGACTCCTCGGTTTTTTTGCGACGTAACCGGCACTTTCGAGACCGGTTGGCCACGCACAGCGATCACCGGGCACGACTGAGGAGAACTCTCTCCCGCGGAGATGAGCGCTGTTTCCATCAAGGTCTGGGTGCGTCAGTCAAGGGAGCCACCGATTCGTTGGGACATCGGTGTTTTCTCGTTTCCTTGATGTTGACGATGCTGAAAGTATTGTTCGTAAATAGTCTCTGAATCTACTACATCTGAAGGATAATCACTCAAATTGAAAAAGTTCATTGTTCGCTGATCGGCAGGATTGTGATGGTATCTCCAAATCGGCAATTTATCCGGAATGGTGTAGGGGTTAACATTGTCGCCTCTCATGTTGAGCTGCACAAAGCTTGAATTCCGCGACAGCCCGGGGTTCGATTCCCCGTTCCGGAATTTTTTCACCCTATCAGCCCTGATATTTGCTGCCTGCATTCCAATGAGCAATTCATTTTCTCCCTAATGCCATCTTTTTAGGGCAAGTATAATGTCAAATACGTCTCTCTTGCACAACAAGACGTCGCAATTTTTAATGTCATGCTGACTTTTATGTCAATAAACAAACAACGAAAAAAAAGGTGGGAATGTGCGTAGTGACGCCAGAAAATGGAAACAGTGGACTATACCGGAGTCGAACCGGTGACCTCCCGCATGCTAAGCGGACGCGCTACCAACTGCGCTAACAGCCCATGGGGCAAGCCATCGAAATAGAGAATAATACCAATCTAGATCAGCCTCCCTGCCCAATTCACAGTCAATGAAGCAATTGCTCGCGCAAGGATAATTAATGTGTTTCAGATATTTTTGCCGTGTGTATGTAGATCCAGGTATCCAATGCGAGTCGCAAAGCTTAATCAGACGAGGATGTTCGATCTGCGATCTGGTGGGAGATTCCAACATGGCAAAATTACAGTACATAATAGTAGTAGTATATCAGTCAATCCGTTCCAATCATGACAAACTCGTCGAGGATTTCGGGTCTCTGTTTGAGATGTCAGATGATACACCGTTGAGCCGCACTCGCTTCGCACTCGGGTCGCTTCTTGATGAGGTCAACTTGGCTCAGAATGGTGCAATATAAGATAGCGGCGCGGAGGGACATCAGTGTCGAGTCGAATCTTCCTTGCGATCTCGACTTGTTACAGCTCCAGCATGACGTCTTCGACCGCGAACGTAGTCCCGCCGTGGAATCCCCCGGCGCCGACGACGCACGATCTGGACTGGGCCGAGATTCTCACGGTCGATCTGGAGAAGGACACGACCGATCGGGACGAGCTGGTCGCGATCGTTTCGAAGGCCGTGGAGCGAGACGGGTTCCTCTACGTTGTCGGGCACGGGATTCCAGATGCGGTGGTGCGTTGGTTCAGTTTCCGCGACGTTTACCTGAGATGTGTCCAGCTGGAAAGGCAATTCGACCTCGGACAGCTGTGCTTTGACGGAGTGGACAGGGCCGAGAAGGAGGCGCACCAGGCGAAGATCAAGGAAACAGGATCCTGGATGGGATATAAGGTCGGTCAAGCTCAGTCAACCAGCGCGAAGTTACGTGGTTGAAGGTCACCGGCTTGAAGCTTCAGAAATATTGGCAAATCAAGGACGGTGTGCGAGATCGGATCGAGCACTACAATTTCTATCAGAATCAGTGAGACGCCGGGCCCAGGATTGAGAAACAGATGGATTAACCTCGGATAGCATCGAACCGGCGAAGAAGCATCCACGAGCAATTCAACCTCATGTTGCAGAAATCCAGGCTTTCATTCTGGTGAGCTCACGAACCCAAGCCGTTGGATGTCGGCCTGAAGGATGACTCGCAGCAATCGCGAACAGTATTGCGGCGCATTCTTAGTCTGATTGATAGTGTCCTCGGATTGGAAGAAGGCTATCTGTGGTCTCTCCATCAAACACCAGAGGGCATCACAAGCGACGATGTACTTCATACTCACGTCAAATTTTGCCGATAACAGAGCTGACCGGCGCGCGCAGGTGTTCCGGTATATGATGTACGAGCCGCTCACAGCGGCCGAGTCAGCCACGACAAAGGGCGTGATGCTGAACGGCCACACGGACTTCAACTCGATCAGCATCTTGATCTCGCAGCCCATCGCGGCGCTTCAGGTACTGATGCCAGACAACGTGTGGCGGTTCGTCAGGCACCGGGACGGCGCGCTCGTGATCAACCTCGGCGACCAGCTGAGCTTCATGAGCGGCGGGATCGTCAAGGCGACGATGCATCGGGGTCCGTGAGAGTTTGCCCATCACGCTAGAACGATCGCTAACCTCAGACAGTCGTGAGCCCTCCACCAGACCAGGTCCACCTGCGCCGTCTCGGTGTCTTTCACTTCGCGCACTTCCTGCCCGGCGTCCCGCTCGACTTGCTCCCCTCGGACCGTGTGCGCAAAGACGGGCGTCAGATTTTCGATGGAGCAATCCCCACGACGGATGAGTGAGTGACCGATCGCGTATTTTGAAGATACGCTGAGTGCGATGGTTCAGGTGGGAGCGCAAGCGTGTCAAGAGCTACGGCACGGAGGAGTTCATCAAAGGCGAGGAGTATGATATTGAGATGCTCGCCGGTTTACAGGTTCGTCGCTTTGTCTGTCGGCGGCATCAGGGCGAGTGACTGAGCAAGGTGGACACAGATCCGTCATTACCACTGAGGTGGATGCTTAAACCTTGTAGAAACTCCCTGATTTTCATATCAATTATGATGAGAAGCTATCGGCGACGCTGCAGAGTTGAGCAAGGACCCAGACTAAAAAGAGTATCATGACTGTCGTTCTCATGAAGGAAGGGATCGTTCCAATGGACTCCACGTGACTGACGCGACACGCCCACGTGGCTCTGAGTCAGGGATGACGCATTTGGCGTGCGAAATAAGGCACAGAACAGGCTCCTCCACAGAGATAGAATACAGGAAGGCTAATTTCCTCGACCAGGGACTCCGACCTCAACGCTCTCAAAACATATCAGATGCTACCACGAGAGAATGTGCTGGGTCCCTCACGGCTGCTTGACGAGGGGCAGGCGACAAGTAGCAGAACAGTTAGTTTACCTATTCGAATTTGACGTGTTCTATATGTAACAGACCTGGCAGGAAATCTCAGAAAGCGCCAGATATTTGAAATGTTAATATTGAAGATACACCGACTCGAAGGATATAAATTTGTAGTCAACTCACTGTGAGATCGAGGGCAGCAGCTTCTGTGCATGGTCTTTGACACATTTTTAGTGAAAATCCTCGTGAGATGGCTCTATGTGAGCTTGATGTGCGATGAAATGCATCAAAAATATGTTCAGCTCATCCGAAGACTGAATCAGTCCGGTTGGTATCCTAGACTTACTGGAACGTTTTGGGGGTACGCTTTATAAAAATCGTTTATCTCTGCTCTGTGGCCTGAAGCCCGGCTTACTTGGCGGTAGCGTATTGGAGGATGCCTCAAGTCGTTGTCGTGCTCCTTGCATGAGTGATCCTCAAGCCAGGAGCTCCAGTTCAGTTTTGAGTGACATGCTAAAGTAATTTGGATGGAAAGCCAGAGGAGTAGACAAGGAACTATCTAGACATCGTAGTTGACCCGGGTCATCAGTTACTTGATCACGATGAGATCCGGTTAGCTTGCAATGCATTAAACCGCTGATGATTTTCATTTTGAATCCTTGCGCATACTGTTTTTAAACTGATCCCAGCAAGAAATTTACATGTTATGCCGACAGGACGTGAGAGGGAGGACGGCACGATTCGATAGACAGGTGACAGAAATGCCAATGACGTGACGTGATTCCACGAAACTTTTCCGCTCACCATGTACTTAGTGGTGACTATATACACGAGAAGAAGCTGCTGTACTCAACGCGAATCAAGCACTTTCGATTCCACCTTTTCAGACGGTTCTCCCTCTGGAATGGACCTGAGCGGCAATGTCGCCACTCATCAGGACCGTGACCGAAAAGCACAAAGACACTCGGCAACCAGAAGAGATCATGGCTTGAGCGCACGAATCGCTTTGCAGGAGCTGTGCCGACGCCAGCGTCGTTATTGTTCTCTGCAATACCTGCCCATTTCCCTTTGAGGGCCCGGGGTGCTGTATTGTGCTCAGCGACTTCTGTGAGGGTCCGCACACAAAGCGAGACTTGACTTAAAAGACAGGAAACAGGCATGCTCCGCACGATCTGCACTCATTCAACTCCATCACGATGCCAGTAGTGCCACACGGCACTCCCGCGTCCCTCATCCTCCCCGACCTGGCGCTGCTCTCCTCCGCCCAGCTGGACACCGAGTACCGCCGCATCCAGCAATCCATCCAGAACGCCGTGTCAGAGCGCGACCGGCAGCTTATCCGACAGGGATTCATACTCGGAATCAAGCGCATGCGCGACGTGCTGCCCGTGCAGCCGCCTGTCCGCCCATCGCGGGTCGCACGGATGCAGGATCTCGTTCCGCGGGACCCGGCGTCTGTGGGGCACCAGCCTCACCGACCTGCGAATGCTGGAGTGTCTTCGGCGGAAGCAGCAGTGGGACACTCGAAATCTCAGGCGCCGCTACTGCCGCCTGTCTGGACTGGGCTGCTGATGTCTCCGCCTCCGAAACAAGCGAACGCAAACGGCAATGCACCAGGGAGTCGGGCCACCACACAAGTGTATCAGCAGCAGCACCCACACCGTCCGCTTCCGGAGCCACCTCAGTCCCACCCCCGTCATCACTACGAAAACTTCACACATGCTGCGTATCGGCGAGAGGAATGCGCATCTCGTCGGTCGAGAGATTCCGAAGGAAAGCGAGAGCGGGGCGGCGGAGAAAGAGATCGTGAGCGAGATAGGGACAGGGCAAGAGGGACAAAGGAGAAATCTAGGGCGCGAGAGAAGGAGAGAGATAGAGAGCGATCGAAGACCGCAGAGAAAGAACGGGGCCAGGAAAGGGACAAGCCGACACCGCTGCACGGGTCCAGTCCTGGCAGCTTTGGTGAATCCCATCCGCAGACAGGATGCCATGAGCTCAATCACAGCCAGAATCTTTCTTCCAGTCCGTCCTTCCGCGGTCCACGCGAGAGTCATGAATGACGGGAGCGGAGCGGCAGAATCGAAGACATTGAGGGTGTGCCGGATACTTGGACGAGAATCGCTGCGAACGAGAGATGTAATGCAGACCAATGGTAGTAGTGAGATCAACGAATGGAGAGGAGGTTGGGAGTCGTAATCAAGCATGAGTGGCGATCATTCGTTGAGAGGTCGTTACGGAGACGTATCTCGGCTGTTCTCTGCCAACGTCGAGTCAGCACTCGACCGCGATCTCTCTCAGCCGCGACCCCTTGCATATGTCCACGACCACCGAGTCTGTCGCAATTGCTGTCTCGGCGATAACTGGCGGGAGCACGCCGTGGCAGATTTGTGCGCGGCACAGTCGGATACTGCAGTTCGAACGATCGGACTCAACGATTGCAAAAAGGCATGGGTTATGGTTCTCGAGTGGGGTCAAGGTCTGCGAAGCTTCGGCAAATCACGAATGGGTGATGGGGTCTGGCCGTTACGAGTGACACGATGGCTTATTAGTTTTTGCTTACCTCCATCGCGTCCTCATTGTCTTGTCATGTCGCGTCGCGGCGTCGCGCACAGTCGCTTGGACCATCCTCACGGAACATACACAATATATCCGTCATACCTTTGAATGCGTACAGAGAGATGGGCATCCTGTTAAAAAAAATCGGAGTTTTTCATTCGGAGTCTTTCATTGGAGCGTACCCCGTTGCCGAGTGGTAAAGCACGCTCGAGGTCATGGTCTGGTAAGCGGTTATCATCGCTGCAAATCCCCCCTCCCCGCCTTCCGCTCTCTTCCACGATGCTCTGCACGAAGTGTGCCACTACATTTCCTCTCCTCGAGGGCTCCGATGTATGCAACCTATGCCTCAAAATCACCCCCGGGATGACGGAGACTGAAGAACGCATTGTCCGCGTGAGTCCCTCGAAGCACGAAAGCTGAATTTGTGTATCTAAGGCCATCTTTAGGATCAGAAACACTGTAAAGGGTGCTCTATGGTCTTCACGCACCTCCTTCAGCCTCTGTGTCAGAAGTGTCTGATGACGCTTGGTGCGTCCCTCACCGCTTTGCTCTGCTTTTACTCAAGAGATCTGTGGCGCATAGTCTCTGCAGAGAGCATTCCCCGCACGATCCTTTTCATCGAGGGTGCAGCTGCCCAGATACACGCCTTACAGACCGCTGTTGATTCTGCTGCCGACCTCCTCCAAATCGCCGTCCAGCATAAGAATGTGGCATCGGAACCTCGTCTCGGTATCCTACCTCGGACTGGCATGAACGCCAACTTGCTCCGCACTCCAAATGCGGCTGCTGCTGTCGCTTGCACCACTACGATGTCGACATCAAGCCAGTCCAGCACGGCCCGGTCTACGACGCTTCAAGCCCAACGTGACAGAGGGAGGGCCATCACCATCGTAGTTGGATTAGCAACGTCGTTTTCGCAAGATCCTAGCAAGACAGCAAAAGCTGTGAGTGACTTCCCAGTGGGCGTGCCTTTGTACTTACCCGAGTGCAAACAGATCTCGAGTGTGCGCCTTCTTGTTGAGGTAGGGCCCAAAACTCCGACATTCAACGCGTTCGCGAAATGCCTCGACCAAGTCAATTCTGCTTTGGCTTCGACTGACACGTTTCCCAATGCGCTACATATCACACGGTGAGTTTCTTGTTTCCGCATTGGTCTGTCAGCGTGAATGAATGCATGCTATCCAGAGACAAAGTCGCCTTCTTCTTTGTGGAGAGCGCGACAAAATACTTCATGATCTCAACGAAGGAGATTTCGGAGCTCACAATCGAGGAACTTATTGCCCAATACTCGGCCCTTCTTCAAGTTGGAATCAAAAGCAGGGACACGAAGCGGTGTGAGATCAAGCTTGTTGTGCCGGATACTCTCATTGTGTGTCCCCTGCTGTTATCATACATCTTGAATGCTGACGTCGAGTACCAGTACGGCGAACATGGCTACAAAGGCACCCGATCCTCCGACAAAAGGTCGCTAGTGTCGTCTACGAAGGTGTCCAAGGCCAAGACCCGGAGCGCAAGTGCCGCTACTGGCTCGAGCACCGCTGGTGCCGCTCAAGCTTCCACCTCGGCCACGGGTGGAAGCTCCGCAGTATCCGCTGCCTCGGGGAAGCGCATCAGTTTGTGGCCCACCTCCCACTTCCTGCGCTTAGTGTCCCCCGACGTAGGCTTTATCAAGTACCGGTTCAGAGCTTACCGGATCGAGCTGGATGGAATGGCTGTCAGGTTTCAACGACCTGATCCGAATGGCCCTTTGGGAACAATCCTGGTTATGGCAGATTGGAAACGCGGGTCGCAGCTCGAGCAGATCGGGGACAAAGATTATCTCAAGACTGGCTTTTTGGGCCGTGGCAGCTCAAAGCACGGAATCTATGTGAGCGCTCATCCACCGTCCGTCCTCTGTCTGGCGCTAACCGAAGTTGTATATAGGCACGGATCAATGGCAAAGAGTACTCGCTCAACCAAAGCTTCCATGAGGATGGCGCTATGACTGAAGTCGATAATCGGAACATACTCATGGATGAGCTGCGCAACACACAGCGCGGATACCTGCTGCTCCAGCAGTTCCATGAGCTGCTAGCGGAGAAGAAAGTCAGAGCACCTCGTGAGTCAGTTCGTCAGTCTTAGCGGTCGTTGTTCATGGATATCCAGGGTTTGCCTTCAACCATGAGGGATCCCTGATCGGAGAATTACTGCCCTTGGAGGACGCTTCCCGGCTTCAAGACAAGCTGCCATTCTCGAATTTCTTGGCTACACCGTATCTACCTGTCGGCACTGCGGAGGCCAAGATCGAGAAGTTCACCGGCGGATGGGACTGTGGCAGTCCTCCAAACGATCGGCTTACTGCCATAATCCATGCGTTTACGCACTGGATGATTGTCTATACAGGCAAACAGTTCGTTCTTACAGACCTGCAAGGTAAGGAGAACCGCCGATTTGAGCTAGCTTGTTTACACCAATTGTCCAGGGATGTATGACGAGCATAATGTGATGAAGCTCATGGATCCTCAATCACACTCGTCAGAAATTGATCGAGACAAACGGCCATTCTGGGATCTCGGACCCACAGCTGTCGAACATGTCCTCGACCACCATCTTGAGTCCTGCGACTCGAATGACTTTTGTGTGAGACTGGGTTTGAAAACCATTGAGTATGGCGGCGAACAGGAAGCGAAAGAAGACACAGGCGGTCGGGGCAGAGCACTTTCTGTGACGCTCTCGCCACGTGCAAACCGCCACACAAAGAAGCCACGCCATGCATCTTCGGATGACTCCTCCGATGAGGACCAGTCCCCGGCTCCAAAGGAAACCAGACGGCGTGGGCCTATGTCTCTTGGTAATCTGCTTACATCGTAGAATAGACATGTGAATTTGTGAAACGTAAACCCTAATAGTACTCATTGTCTCTATTAGCAATCTCAGAAGGAAGCTCGCGAGTTGGAAAGAGCATGACGAAGAGTTCATCGAAGATGGCCCAACCATTCTGAGAAGTGACTGGCAGACTTGTGATCATCTGAAGTGCATACTGAGCACGATCTGCGAACTCGGTTGTGGCAAATGCAAGCTGCTCTTCGGCGTTGAGTGCAGCTTTCACCTGAGCAATAACGTCCAAGTTAACAGCCTGGAGACACTTGACAGCCTTCCAGGTTTCCGGCATCATGTATGCATCAATCCTCGACATTCCAGAAGGACCTAGCTTGTCCTTCTGGTAGCGCACTTTGATGCCATTGCGGAGGCGGGCCCAGTCGTTGAGTTCTCGTTGCAAGATGTTGGACCAGAGCCATTGTGCAAGTTCACTGTAATTCAATTGTAAGTCTTGGCAGTCAAAGACTGTAAACAGAATTGACTTACAACTGGTCCGTATCACCTGCATCATAAACCCTTTCATCAATTGCACTTGAGAAGATCTCTGCCACATTATGGCCCCAATCCTTCCTCATGGTAAGCCAGCTACGTTCAACAGTGATGTTATGCACACTGCGAAGGTAGTTGTGTGCCCTGCCTGCAAGTTCAGGCAGCATGGTCTCACTGGAGGGCCCTGTCAGTCATTGGCAAACAAGCAAAGGAAAATGATAGCTTACCGAATAGCATTGACAATTCCGTAGAGCATTGTGGTCTTGGAACCACAATCGGTTGCAGTTTGCTTGGGAACGCCTGCATGTTGTGATTAACCTTGGGATGAACAGGCCCAACAGGAATGGTCAATAGTCAACACTCACCTTTGTATCTCTGAACAAGGTCCAGAAAGATCCAAGCAATGACGTTCCCCAGCCGGTTATTGGGAACCAGATAAGCTCCAAGGATAAACAAGGTTGCTTCATCGACCATCATCCAGATGCCAAACCCATATTTGTTCACCTTGTCGTGGCCATCTCCAGACCAGCGCTCATCAGGCCCTAACATCATTGGCTTTGGCTGACGTGAGATCTTCTTTGCAGTTGGATCACGCTTGAGGAAGCCTTCTGGGCGGTGGATGTGCATCCAATGGTCAACTGTGTCTCTGTACACAAAAGGCAATGTGAGGAAAATGTAGAATGGAAGAGAAGGCCAAATGATGCACCGTTTCAGAATGACATGTGCATTGAAGGCAATTCGGTGCCAAATTGTGTTCACGCCAGCCATATCACTCGGATCCTTGTTCAGCTCATCCACCACAAGCTGCTCAACCTGCTGTGGTGACAGCTTGCGCTCAGTAACCTCACCACCAGTTAGCTCCCACAGATTTCGCCGGCGCTTGATTGTTGACTCGCTGCCAATGTTCAGAGTCTAACTCAAAACAAGACATAGTTTGGACAGACCTTGTATGAATGTCGAACTGAATGGCGAGCCGCTCCTTCATAACCTGGTTGCTGGTTTTCTTCTCCGAATGAAGCAGCCGAAGTGCCCAGTGCAATTTTTGCTCCCATATAGGATCTAGAAGTGTTGAGTGAGTTCATTCCGGAAGCACAGTGGGTCACGGCGCAGACCTAGCTTGTGTTGGTTTTTGCCGGTTGGGTTACGGTTATAGGAGGACACTGGCAACATGAACGGAAAGGTAAGAGCGAAAAAATGCGGAGCACGCGTTGGAGCATTTGATTGATGTGATGACAACAGCGCACGCGGTTTAAGGATATCTAAGATCTTGGCAGTATCTTGGCACTCATAAGCTACTCCAAGCTGACACAAGTCTATGTAATGACGACAAAGCCCAATGGTCCGAAACTCCCGATTCCGAGTCCGACTCGTAGACAGTGCATAGGGAGGGTGCATCATCATAGTCTGTTGACACCTGTAATCCGTTGGGACTGAGTCCCATGGCGGCGGGATGAGATGATGGTGGAGCCAAAGAGCGCTGTCTGCGTGGAATAAGTGGCTGTGTGAATCCCGCCTTGCAGCGAGAAGTTTTCGTTGAAAAAAACAGAAAGGTATCTACTATCTATCAGAACATCGGTGTGGCGAGGCGGAAAGGCGGGCGGCGGGCGGGTGACAGCGACGACCACGTCATCAACATGAGCCAACTAGTCACGGTGAGGTATCACGGAGTGCCAGCCAACAGTAGGACCCCGTCCACTCAGCGATGACATCTCAGATTTGCCTTATTCAGACCTTGACCCCACTCGAGAACCATAATGGGTGTTCTGCCGAGGAGGGTCGGCATCAAAGCGCAACAGATAAGATACTTCGATGCATATGTTTCAGGCCATCCATTTCGACAAGCGAGGAAAGGTTAGAATCTGGAAGCTCCCAAGTACAGTTTGAGCAGAGCATGAGCATGATGCATCGCAAGACAGCGATAGATCATAGCAGCAAACACTTGGAGCACCGGGGGATTAATCGCATTCCGACGCATTGGAAATTCAGACCACGTGCATAAAACGCACACCCTGCCGCCGCGTATGCTCGGATGTTCCTAGTCCCGTAGCAGATATGGAACGAGACAAGACGCTGTCAGTTGCGGGTTAAAATCTCCGTGACAAGATTTTTGCCAGGTTGAAAAGTGCCGTGGTCACAGATTCCTCAGTTTGAGGGGTCTATTCACAGATTTGTTCGACCGTAATTCGAGAGCGACTGCGCGAGTCATGTGAAGAGAAATTTAGGATACGACATACGAAACGGCTACGGAAAACGGTGTACAGCCAGCTTAGCTTGCTCTCATCGCTCGGATCTTGGGAAACTGCGCCCTCTTGGTATCGGGCCGATCTGCCGATCACAGTCATTGATGTCGGTGTCGATCACCGGAATGACGTCCTCCAATGATCCGTCTCGAGCTGCAAGAGCAGAGCGAGTAGGAGGCACGATCATAGCTCCTCGAGAGCGGGCCGGCTTTCCGAAGTAAAACAGGCACTTTTGCGCAATCTGCTGATTCCGCGACAACGTTGAGCCCGCTCTTCACGATGTGTCATGATTCATGAAAACCGAGCGCCACAAATTTCATCCCCTCTCACCCCGTGGGGCACCCGTGACCCGGTGACAGGTCGTGTGGCCGCTTTCGATCGACGTAATTTTCGAATTCCAGGTCGTCTGTCTGTGTGCTTGCTTACCCGCGACGCGCAGATGGTGATTATCGCAACGCGCCCCCTTGGCTGTGGAACAGATCACTTCTGTGTCGTCACATGCATCTCCCCTTTTCACGGGCCGACAACTGGAGACTGTATAAGATGGAGGCGTAAACGCACCAGAGAAAAGTAAGCCGCTGCGATGAAGGTTGTAGCTCCCCAGCTCCTGTCCGTCCTCGTCCTCGCCGGCGCGTCGAATGCCGCAAGCTACACCGGTCCGTACTCCCATGGTGGGACCTGGAAGAAGGGCTTCGCGGAGGCCAAGGCACTCCTCGCCCAGATGGTGCGTCCCAGTATTCCTCGATGCACCCGGACTCAGCGCCATTCCAGACGCTCGAAGAAAAGGCACGGCGCGTTTGCTTGCGTTCTCTGGACTCCTCATGCTGATTGACTTCCCCAGACCAATCTCACGGTCGGCTGGCCTGGTCCGTGCGCGGGCAACACAGGTGCCGTGCCCCGCCTCGGGATCCCCGTGCTGTGTTTGCAGGACGGGCCGAACGGCGTGCGCCCTGTCCGCCGCGCGTCGCAGTTCCCGACCGGCATCACGACCGCCGCGACATGGAACCGCGAGCTGATAACCGCGCGCGCGAACGCGCTTGCCGAGGAGTTCTACGACAAGGGGATCAACGTTCTGTGTGTTCAGTTCTCTCTGTTGACTGGGCGCTTGGCGAGAGGATGCTGATGCGCGCGTGGCAGGCTTGGGCCCGTGACTGGAGGGCCAATGGGGAGGAGCCCATTGGGCGGACGGGCATGGGAAGGTTATTCTGCCATTTTTCCGTATTACGGCGAGAGACTGACTGTATGACTTTTAGGGTTTGGGCCAGATCCGTGCGCGGTTTCCGAGCGGACTTCGATCATCACTAATGCAACTGTAGATATTTGCATGGTGTCGGATCCTACCTGACTGTACAAGGCATCCAGGAGAAAGGCGTCCTTGCTTGCTCGAAGCATTTCATCGGGTATGAACAGGTCAGTTGTTTCAGGTCATCATTCCAGTCTTGTCCTCAACATCCCACAGGAAACTGACCGAAATCAAAACTTCGAGCCTGGCATCACTCCGAATCCAGTCTCGTCCGACTTTGACGACAAAAGCGCGCACGAAATCTATATGGTGTGTTGATCGGGTTTCGAGTTGTCGATGACGCTGATGGGATTTTTCTCTCGCTCTCTAGTGGCCGTTTGCTGAGGCCGTCCGTGCTGGGACCGGGATATCAATGTGTTCGTACAACGAGCTCAACGGCACCCATGCGTGCTCCAACGACGTCGCTCTCAACGGCTGGCTCAAGGGACAGCTGAATTTCCAAGGGCCGGTGATTTCCGACTGGGCGGGAACATGGGATACCGTCAATTCGGCATTGAACGGTCTGGACGTGGTGATGCCTGGCGGCTTCTTCGGGCCGGAGACCCTGATCCCGCTGGTCCAGAACGGCACGATTCCGGAGAAGCGATTGGATGATATGGTGCGTTGGATGTTGAATGATTACCCTAGATACCGGTCGGCTGAAAGAGCGGTAGGTTCTCCGCACGCTTACGCCGTTCCTCGAGATGCAAGACATCCACAAGTTCCCCCTGCCCACCTTCAACCAATCCGACATCTCGCTTCCCGCCAACAATGTCCGCCGCGACCACTACAAGATCATCCGGAAAGTCGCGCAGGAGGGCGTGACGCTGGTCAAGAACAACCGCACCGGCGGACGCGGTCTCCCGTTCCCGGATCTCGCCGAGATGGCATCACTCGCTGTGATTGGTCAGGATGCCGGCCCCGCGCCATTCAGCTGGACATCCTGCGGCATCGTCGGCATGGACTGCCTGCCCGGCTCGAACAACGGCACGCTGACGGTGGGTGGCGGCAGCGCATATGCCCTACCGCCGTACACCATCGACCCGCTCGCGGCGATCAACTCCTACGTCGCTGCGGTGGGCCCGGACATCAACCACCACCTCGACAACTACAACCTGACGGCGGCATCGCTCCAGGCCGCGGCGTCCGAGGCGGCGATTGTGTTCCTGAACGCGTATGCCACCGAGGGCTACGACCGCCCGAATCTCACGACGTACCCGAACGGCGACGAGCTCGTCAAGGCTGTCGCGGCGGTGAACAAGAACACCGTCGTGGTGCTGCATGTGCCGGGTCCGGTGATCGTCGAGGAGTGGGTCGATCATCCGAATGTGAGTCCCTCCTCGATGTTGACGTAGGTCACGCGCTGAATATGGCGGTTATCAAGGTCACAGCGGTCATCGTTGCGCATTACCCCGGTCAGGAGAGCGGGAACAGTCTCGTCCCGCTGCTCTGGGGTGAGGAATCGCCGTCCGGAAAACTCCCGTATACGTTTGCGAAGCGGCTGAGTGGTGAGTCCCATGGGATATATGTCTGGTTGGGCTTTGTTTTCTTACGCTATTCAGATTGGCCACCGAACGGAATTGTGAACGACAGCTCCTCGCCCACTGCTCATTTCTCCGAAGGCCTGCTTGTCGATTACAAGGTCCGTTCTAAGTATTATTATTTTTGTTGTTGTGTGCAGCCGTCTGATAACGCGATTAGTGGTTCGACGCCAAGAAGATCGAGCCTCGGTTCGAGTTCGGCCTGGGCCTCAGCTACACGACATTCCAATACGGCCAGCTCTCGCTCAAGAAGACGTTCCAGACCGACAGCACGTCGGTGCAGCCTACCGCGGAGCAGTTCGTTGCGATCTCGTCGGATTCGGGAAAGAGCCTGTACGACATCTTGTACACGGTCAGTCATCCTGTCCATCCGACAAAAATTGGGGGCTAAGAGTTGCCAGGCCACGGTCAGCATCAAGAACACGGGCAAGGTTGCCGGTGCCGAAGTCGCCCAGCTCTACGTCTCTGTGAGCGAGACTATAATATGTCGTGTTCGTTCGAAATCTGACGTATTCTGCAGTTCCCGTCCAATGAAAACCAGCCTCCTCGCGTCTTGCGCGGCTTCGACAAGCTGAGCCTGAAACCCGGACACCAAGCGACGGCTACGTTCGAGCTCACGCGCAAGGATTTGTCGGTGTGGGATGTCGTGCAGCAGAAGTGGAGAGGTGATTCGCGCTTTTTCACAGTCGACTCGCCAACGCCGCGGTTCTGAGCTGACGTGTTTTATTCCAGTGCCAAAGGGGGAGTTCACACTGACTGTGGGCGCCTCGAGCCGAGATCTGCGCTCGAAGATTACCCACAGCTTTGCGTGAGGGGGCGGAGCGCTGGGGAGGTCGGAACGGGAATTTTTAAGCCGCGCGGGGAGTTGATATCGCCTGCGGCCGTCGTATTGTTAATTATTCGGGTTTTCCGAGTTTGTATATCTGCAATGATTTCTGAATATCCGCTTCTATGTGACCTTTGAACTGGCCCACAATCTCGGAAACGAAGGCTAAAATTGTGAACGGAATCGGAAGTGAATATCAAGTGTGTGCGAGTGCTTGACCATCAGGTGCTTTAACCGGCCATTATATTCACTCTGTTCATATGGCTATACGTGTAGACGATATTTTTTCTTCATGTTGTTCTTGTTTTTGGCAAGTGTTACTGAGTGAGAGGTGTGATGATGATTTGATACCATCAGTGACGGCACTGAATGTAGGCGGTGGTTGCACCGTTTAGCTTCTCGTTCAGATTCAATGACGCATTTCAGCAGTCGATTCTGCGTTCCTCAAGCTCCACACTTGATCAACCCCAAAGAATTCACCATCTCCCCTCTTCACTCACGTCCAGCATGTCCATGCTTCCTGCGACACGCAAATCCATCTCCTCGCCCGCTGCGGGCTCACCTTCAGACTCGCCTCATCCAGATATCGACGGCAAGATCCGGTTCTACGGCGCGCTCTCGGCGTTACGCCAATCGTATCTCCCGACGAACGCCCAGGTCACGGACGTCCTCGCCTACGTCAAGACGCACTCGCCGGTGGAGGAGAAGAAGCTCTCGGCCGAAGGGCGGCGGCTCGTGGGCGATATGCGCCGCATCATCGACACGCTTTCGGCGATCGTGCGGGAGAAGAACGACGGCGAGGTGCTGCAGCGGTTCGTTTGGGCGACGCGGGCCGTGGACGCGACTGCGCTGAAGCCGAGCGAGGCTGAGCAGGCGAAGGTCAAGGACGAGGTGGACAAGGCGAGACTCGATGCGCAGGAGGGTGAGAGCGGTCTCGCACACCAACACCCCCCGCGGTTTTGCTCACTGTTGCGTGTCAGCGGCGCATCATCTACGCGCCCTCATCGCACTCGTGCTCACTAACGGCGAGATGCGCAAGCTTGTAACGGATCTGGGCACTCTGGGACGCGACTTGATTGCCCACGGAGCAGCCAAAGTGGCGAAGGCTGTCTCGCCGAGGGTGGACGCGCTATCCCAGGTCGATGATATCGCTCCTCATGACACATTCGGCGATTCGTGTGAGTCCCCTCTCTTTCATGTGGGATAGACCCTTGAAATCAGCACAGCATTGCTCTCTCCATCTCGAAGCGTTGTCACTGCACCATCCTTTTCGTCAGTCCACTCTCTGGCCTCGTCAGCATCCGAATCAACTTCGGGATGCGACCCTGGCTTGACAGAGCCTACGCCTTCTCCTAGTATGTGCATCGCCGCGCCCAAGCCTCTTTGCTCACCATCATTCTTCCAGCCCACAAGAAACGATTTGTGGATCGTTTGGTCTCTCTGAATGCCCCGAAACCGACTGAGATCCTCGAAGATGGTCGTACCTGGTTCTCGGACGAGTTTTTCCCCGAAGAGCGGCGCGAACGCTGGGTCTGGCGGGGCAAAAAGGCAAGTTTTCGGTCATCATCTCGGCGTAGCCGACGGCTCATCGGATTGACCCCAGGTCATCGTGGAATGCCAGAAGCACGACGACTACCGCGCTTCGATGACATGGCTCTTGAACACCGTCGTCGCATGGGCCGGTCGTTGCGGCGGGCTGATTCCTCAAACAGAGCTGAAGCAGGATGTATCCCTGCAGTCTGCTCTGGATCTGTTCCGGCTCCTCTTGGAGCGTTTCGCCGGCGCATCGCTCGAGCCAATCTTGTCTGCGGCGCGAGTACTGGCGCACGATGCCGCGGAAGACGAATCGCTCCGCAGCTGGTGGAGTGCTGTGGGTGCGTTTGCACGCAAGGTGAGTAGTATGACTTACTCGTCAGTGAGAACGTGGACTTACAATTCCGACGCAGGTCCTGCTGCAGGTCGGTTATGTTACCGAGGATGCATGTGCGGCGCGTGCTCGTGAGCTCCGTGATTTGGGGCGCGCCTTCTACCGCGAGAAGTACCGAAGCCACTTTGAAGCCTTGATTGATAGCATTGCCAGGTGACCTGTTTGTTTACGGAGCCAAACGTCTGAGGACTCACAGACTATGGCATAGCTGGTTCCGTTCGTTTGCTGAAGAGCCTCTGAATAAGGAGCTGGCTGAGAGTTTCACCAAGCTCACTCGTGACCTCCTCTTTGATCGTGAAGGCAATCTGCAGTTCAAGAAAAAACTCTGGGAAGACGTTCGAGGGATCATTCTCCCGACGCTGGTCGATAAGGTGAGCACGTCCATTCCTCCTGGGTGATCCCGCTAAGTGAGATCAGGTCGGATTCGTGCCGATTCCACGCGTGGAATACACTGACGATAACGTTGATCTGGTCGTCGAGAATCTGACGCTCTCTGGTCGGCACCTGTTTCCGAATGTGATTGAGCTCGAGGCGCACAACTTGGTCAGATTCAGTCCGTACACTCAAGGCAATCTCTCGCGGCACGAAGTGACTGTCAAGTTCTCGGAGATCCAGGCTGCGATGCGCGACGTTGCATTCTCGTTCCGCACCAAGACCGGGATCAAGATGCGGGACTCTGGCATGGCTGACGTCGTCTTGGGCGGGCGGGGCTTATCTGTTTTGATCACTCTCGCTTCCTCTGCGTCCAAGGATACGAGCTCTATCTTCCGCGTCACTCGGGTCCGAGTCAAAGTTGCCTCTCTCAAGCTAAGCATTCGGGACACCAAGCATGATATGCTCTACAAAACCTTCAAGCCACTGGCGACGCGTTTGATCAAGAAACAGATCCAAAAAGCCTTTGAGGAAGCGATCCGGACTGGGCTCGAGTATCTTGATGGGCAACTGGTCAGCGCAAGAAACAAGATGGCGGACGATGGAGTGGAAGAGGTCGGCCAGAAGTCCCTCAAGTCAGAACATCTTCCGGAGGCTTCGACTCTCACGACTTCGTTGTCAATGTCCACGACGGCAAGCGGGGGCTCCCAATTCAAGGTCGTCGCAAGCAAGAAGCGCTCGATCCTCCCAAACAGCGGGCATCCTGCGGGCTGGGTCAATCGTGTTGCTGAGCGCCAGCAGCAGATCGCGGAGCAGGGCGACGAGTGGCGCTCGGATGCGTGAGTGGTTTGCCGCTTTTCTATTGTGTACGAAGCTCAGCATTCTGCATTCAGCTTCGATGTGCAGCCACTGGGGAGGGCGAAGAATCTGCAAGTCCCCAAGGCTTCACTCGCGTAGACGGGATCGCGTCGTCAAGGGAGTAGGTTAATACAATGAAATCCTTTCGGTGATACTCTCAGTGGATCGAGAAAACGGAAAGGAAGTACCTACAATCCTTTCATGCTGTGTGAATCGGCTCCGGTCAATGCATGAGTGAGAAGGGCAGTACGCGTCCGCGAAGAATGTGCGAGAACACTATTACCATAGTCTCGGGGATGCGCCCGACGTACTGTTGAGTGTCATTCTAGTCTCGAACCAGTCGGATAATTGGCAAAACGAAATTGGTTGGGAAATGAATCTACTTCTTGTCCGCAGAGACTCGCGTTTCGGCTGCAGCATCATCCCATCATTATTGTCATGATGGATCTGTCATCCGTACATAGGGACTGTACATGTGACTTGAGGTCCAGCATCATTCAAGGTTGACCGTCATGTGAATCTCCATTGCCAACATATGTAACGTTTGCTTCTCTTCTCGAGGCAAGTCACTTGCGAGTCAGCCCTAGTCTTCGCAATGATCATCGCACAAAGCGCTATACCGTGACTGCGTCACAAAGAACTCGCAGTGCCCCTTCACCCCTTCCCTCTCCCACACTCTCTACTCAGACCGCTGCGCATCCTGTAGGAACCTCCGTACCTTTCTCCCCGACTTGCGTTCTCATCTATCTTGCCTCATAGCTGATGGCTTACTGCGATCGCTGCGACCGCTACTTCCAGAGTCCGTACGCTCTTGATCAGCACAGGGCGGACTCTGGCGCACATAACATCTGTGACGACTGCGAAATCGATTTCACCACATGGAATGGACTGGAACAGCACTACGTGCAGAGCCGACGGCACCACTACTGCCAGCGGTGCAATGAGCACTTTGACGACGAGGACGAGTTGGAGGAGCATTACGACGACTCACACTACTACTGTTCGCGCTGCCGGCGCTTCTTCCGGAACGAGCAGGGCCTCCACGAGCACTACCGGCAGTCCGACCAGCACCACTACTGCGTCCCGTGCCGCCGCCTCTTCTTGTCTGCAAGCAACCTCATCTCGCATCTCAACTCGTCCCGCCACCGCCCGAAAGACGTCATGTGCCCCGGCAGAGGCTGCGGGCTGGGCTTTGTGTCGCGGTCCGCGGTTGTGCTGCACCTGGAGTCGGGGAAGTGCGCGTCTGGAATGACGCGGGAGAAGATCAAAGTGGTTGTGCGCCAATACGACCGACAGAACCTCATCACAGACCCTGCGCGCATGATCAATGGCCCGGGCATATCGAGCCCGACGTACATCGCGACGCCCCGGGCGTGGAACGGGACTGCGTATGAGTGTTATCTGTGCCACAGCACGTTCCGGACGCTGCCGGCGCTGAACGCGCACCTGGCGAGCCCCCGACACGAGGACAAGATCTATGTTTGCCCGCTGGCAAGCTGCCGGACCCATTTCTCGACGCTGAGTGCGCTGTGTCAGCACATCGAGAGCGAGCAGTGTGGGGTGCACAAGTTCCGCGCCGTGCAGGAAGGCATGGATGGGCTGGTTGGCAAGATGAAGCGATTGACTGTGTGAGGAGGATGTTAAAGCACTTCTTCCCTTCCGCAAACACCCGTTGCCTAGACTTCTCCAATCGCGGTCTCGTGATCGATCGACATGCATCACACAAACGCGCTTTCTCTCATCTCGGCGGATATATGTATTCTGCTTTCCGTGACTGCATACAATGTACACACTGTAAACATATCGCGCCATCCTCATGATCTCAATACAGTTACTGTTTCTGACTTTCACCCCCCACTTGCTTTACGCATTATCAGTGGACATTTCCACATGCGACGGAAGCGAGGATGGTCAAGTTCTGACACAAGAGCGGCCGTGGTAATTACTGGAATAGCACTAGGTTGACCCAGAGGGAAAAAAAAATGTCTCTTCACAAATCGTCTATCTATAATTACGATCAGTGGAATCTGGATAGATCTGGATACAGCGATCAATCACTATATCTGATTGGGGACAAGATATTTATGGCCGCTCCGTCATCACAGGACAATTACAGCACAGCAGGCAGTGTCAGTCAGTCTAAGCGTTTGCTATGGCACGTTTCCCTCTCGGACTAAAATAGCCCTCAAGCGCCGATGATCCGTGCTGACAGATACTCATCACAATGAGTCGGACGACACAAAATGGTGTCTTGACCCACGTGATTAGTTTCCCTACTCTCCGAAGACCACCATTCTACATTGCGTCAAGAATGACGAGTAGTCCTACGGAAAGCGATGCTCTCCTTCCCAAGCATTCGAATTCCGACGGGACGGGATCTGATGCGGACCGCCGCAACCGTCCGCGACCGGGGCCACTGGAAATTACCCCTGCGCGAAGGCGGAGAATCTTAGCAGGGGTGTGGTTGGGTACTTTTTTGTCGGTGCGTGCTTGTATCGCTTGGAAAATCTCAATCTGGACATTCTACAGACCTTGAATCGTGCGCACGCGAATCTCCATTCTCATTCTATCCCTTGCATCTCACCACCGCACGCCCGCCAGAAACGCTCGTACCCACCAGTAGGCGCGATCGTTCTTTTCCTGCCATCGGTTCTGACACCGTGGGTCCAAGTGACTCCGTCGATATCCTCAGAATTCAACAAGTTCCACCAAGCGAGTTGGCTGGGAACAGCGTGTGTTCAAGTCCCATCGCCCGCGTCTCCACTTCGTCTCACCGCGCACTGAAACATCAGGTTCCTTCTCGCAACTTGCACATTCACCCCGCTCTACGGCCGACTGTGTAATGTGATGGGCCGTCGTGGAGCTAATCAAACGGCGCTCGTCTTCGCTACGCTTGGCACCATCGGATGCGGTCTGTCCACCAATATGGAACAGCTCATTCTCGCTCGTTTTGTACGGCTTTCTGTAGCCTTACGATCAGTGCTTACAGGCGTCATTCTAGCTCGCGGGCATCGGCTCGGGCGGGCTGCACACGACCTCAACGTGAGTTCAACGGAAGCCCAGGTGTCCCAGTTCTCATGGTGCTCCATAGGATCGTGGTCAGTGACATGTTTTCTCTGAGGGTGAGTCCTCGCATGTCTTCTCGGTTGGTTGACGCCCGAAATGAACATCCGATTTCCATTCCGTCGTAGGACCGCGGCCTTGTTCAAGGTTTCCAAAGTTGTGTCATCGGGGTTCGTTAAGGAGTTCCTCGTTCCAGAAGACACCGATTGACGCCAAGCCGACAGCTGGGACAAGGCTTGGGGGGACCTTTCGGGGGGCTTATCACTGACCTGTCAGTCCGAGCGGTCTTTATCCGGTGCTAGTTTCCATCCACTCACTTCCCCCCAGATTTGGCTGGCGAGCAGCCTTTTTGCTTCAGCTGCCATTCTTCCTCTTGGCGTTCGTGATCACCACCTCCAATCTTAACTACGTCACACCGGTGAATGCCCTCCCCCATTCGTTTACTTTGGCAGAAGCGCTTATCTGTTGAGCTACCAGGGCAAGTTGAAAAGCGCCAAGGAGGTGCTGAAACGCATCGACTACTTTGGCAGTCTCACGCTTTTGGGCGCGGTCGGCTCCGTCCTCGTCTTCCTGAGTACCAAATACAACGAGGCTCGCCCTGTACAGCTTTTGTCGCGTCAGTTTTCGGACCCACAGCTGATGTCTCTTAGTGGTCAGATGGACGGGTGATCGCACCCATAATCACGGCTGGGGTGTTCACGCTAGCATTCCTGTTGGTCGAACTATTCATCGCACCGGAGCCGGTGATGGCGCCTGCCCTGCTCCGTCAAAAAATCCCGGTGCTCGTCAGCATGTCCAACTTCCTCGTGGCGGCCTGCAACTTCTCCGTGACGTATTTTTTCCCGATGTGGTTCCAGGTGGTCACACTCGAGAGTGCATCGAGCGCTGGTGAGCCGAGCCGACTTGTTCACTCCGTGCCGGCGCTCATGCGCGGGCTGCGCAGGGCTCCATCTCGCGCCCAATAGCGTGGCGCTGTCCACCGGATCGGTATTCGCCGGCTGGCTGATGCATCGGAGCGGGCGGTACAAGAAAATCAACCTGTCTTTCGGCCTGTTTCCGTTCATTGGTGCCACGCTGATTTCGTTCCTCCGCGAGGATTCTGGGTTCATTCAGTCCTGGCTCAGCATCGTGAGGGGTGATTTCGGATCATTGGTGTTGGCTGTTGAAATTTTGTTGGGCAGATCCCGCTTGGATTCGGCAATGCTGTGGTCCTGCAAACAACGCTGAGTGCGTGCATGTGTTTATTTTAATTCTGATCGAGATCTGAACATCGACCAGTGGCCCTGCTCGCTTATCTGCCCGCGTCGCACATGGCTGTGGGGACTGGTTTCGGACAACTCTTCCGAGGGATAGGTTCGTTCCTTCGCAAGTGTTGGTCAGAAATACTGATTTGACCTGGTATAGGACAAGTCGGTGGCGTGGCGGTCTCGTCCGCTATCTTCCAATCCCGACTTGACTCCCAATTGCGACAGCGAATTCACGGTCCTGATTCTGAGGAGGTCAAACGCTCTCTTTCTTTATATCGTTCAACGCGTACTAAAAACCCGCAGATAATCCGCAAGATCCGAGAATCCAGTGCGGTAGTTCGCACCCTGGAGCCTGAACTACAAAGCAAGGCGAAAGAATCCTACGCGATCGCGCTAAAAACTGTGTTTATTTTCTCCGCGGTCTCGACTTTCCTCGCGTACATGGTCCGATTGCCAGTATGTTGTTCCCTTGCGTGTGACGATCAGCCAGAGAACTAACCCATCGGCTACATCAGATTCCCGACCAAGATCTAGACCAAGCGCATGCTCGCCGGAGCAAGCCCGCTGGGGGCAACACGCAGAACGACAACCCCAACGCGGAAGCAGGCCCGAGTAACAGCAGCACCCCGCGCAGTTATTCGCCCTCACCGTCCCCGTCTCCGATCGGCCGGGTTGGCGATCAGCCGCGTCCGACTTTGGAGGCGTTTGGCCGCCGCCAGCAGAAGCGGAGGCTTTCTGTGTTTGAGCCGAATGAAGGCACACAGGATCTTGAGAGCGATAAGATTGGGGGATCGGCGCGGGCTATTCCGCAGATCTCTGTCCAGGGCGATGCTCGCCCGAGTTTGTCGGGGGATGCGCGCTGAGTTGAGAGAGTCAATTCGCGGGTGTTGGATAGCTCCAAAATATATGAGCATAGACGTTCTACGACTGGCTTGTTATAATGACCCTGTGATGCGCAGCAGAAGCTATTGAATATCCTGCAGTTCGTAACCTTGCATGCTTGTTTATTCGCGGCATAAAACACATGTGTTTCAAGTCTGTCCTCGCGACTATCTGATAGAAAGATCCAGATTCGATTGGGTATACGGCTTTCACATGAACACTTGTGCGCTGAAAACTGACGGCACATATTTCCTCCAATGTCACGACCGTGGCTCTCCATCGGAATTCCGAGTGAGCAACTTCTCAGTATAAGCTTTGCACGGCTGACACACACAAACAACCCACCGTGCAACTACATGGGGGAGAAGCTGTGTACATAGCAAAAAATGGATGAGAGACCGAGGCCAATTTACATAGACGAACAACACAAAGCACCGATGATGTAGTGCGACAGAGTTTGATGGTTCGAGCGCAGAAAGATTCAACCACCAATGTCGCAAAAATCTGAATTGGCATATCTGTTATGGTCAGCGCTGATAGGTAGGGCTCAGGCCTTCAGCCTGATGACTGGCTGATCTCCGTAGGAAAGGTTGAATCAGTCGTCATCAGACGGTGATCAGACGTTGATCAGGGAATGGTCAGCAACGCATCAGGTGAGTATCGGACGTCAGTCAGGCGGGAATCAGCGGTTGATCAGAAAACTACCAGGCCCTGGTTTCAGCGGTGAAGACAAAAGGAGAACAGGCTTTCTTCCTTGCTCCATCTTCACTTTTTTACATTCACGTTTGGCACTGCATTTGAACAGGGTATCGCTTCACTTTCACTTGGATATTCAATTAATTTAATTAATTAATGTCACACTGTTATTCAGCCTTAATGATAATAATTTCACTCGATTTACTTCACAGTGGGAATCGAACGCGAGAACATGAACTACTAGACCAATACAGACCACTACACTATGTAGGCGCGTGTTGCACTGTGTGCTCCAGTGCTAAGTGTCGTCGGAGACTTAACACAGCCACTTGCATCATGATGACGCAAACCAGAACGACCCTTCCACTCGCAGCTCGCAGCGTACCAGCATCTTTCTACACAGGACTGTGAAGTTCAACATATCTCTCGAAATCTTCCCAACAATATTGCCATTGGAACTTTGCGGTCTGCGCATCGCAACAAGCCGAGACCATATCCTCTGAGGTCCACCTTCGACGCTCAGCTGCAAGGACTCGGATACATTGGCAAGTGTCGCCATCAACGCAAACGAGCGGGCCGCCGGATGCATGTACAATGGGTATCACTCCAGCCGCCTGGCCCTGTGCGTCAGCGCTGCTGACCAAAGCGAAAGAGAAGAGAGAGAAGGCGACGTACCATGAACTCCATAACATTGATCCTGAAGTGTTCATCCAGCACGACCCAGCCAAGCGAGCACCTGCGAGTACGGTGCGTTCAGCACGAATTGCACATGGTTCTGTCCAGAATAGGCATCTGCCGATCATGACCGGCTGCACGCCCTGCGCAGCGTACTCCGGGCGGTTCTGCAGCAGTGAATGCAATGCGCGGAGCTGCATCGGAATCACGCGCTCCCTCCCCGTGAGCGGCAGCCGCGCCATCTCGCGCGTGTCGCATGAGGGGTACACGACGCGCGTGCGTACGGTCGCGGCGGGCCCGAACGGGGGTACGCGAGCACGATGTCGACGTGCCGATTCGTCCAGCCCTAGTTGACCAGCACGGCACTCACGCGGCGCAGCGTGAGCGCGTAAAGCAGCATGAACGCGTGATAGTACGCGCGCTTTGAAGAATCCGAGTGAACGTGTATTGAACATGAACAACGACCTCGTCGCCCTCTGAAGCGTCGACTTCCTGTTGAAGATCGCTCCAACCAATCTTGATTCTCACTGGGTTTTCGGTGCGCCATGGGACTACGGGGACAGTTGAGCTCTGATAGGCTGAAAAAATACAGAGAATGACGAGCTTTTCCGTAACTTCGATGTCCAACTCCGCTAATTCCTCGCCAACAAGTTTCCTGAGATGTACATGAGTGCGGAACTGTCTTTCAAGGCGAGTCCTTTGTCCACGATCGAGATTTGGGTAACTGATAGCAAAACTCAGGTCGAGAAATCCATTATCTGGTCGACACAGTTGATGCGGACATATTTTACGCTCTCTGAATGCGGTACAACATATATGTCATTGATCCGTAGCATTTCCCAAAGACATAGCCTTATTACAACTTATAATACCTGATCCCAAACTGACCAGAGGCTGACTCCCGTCTGAGCATACCTGACAAGATCTTACCGGCCTGACCACCGCCTGAGGATATGTGGTCAGGGTCTGACAACAAGCCGTCAGTTCAAATCAGCCGCATATCGGTCCGTCAGGACTGATCATAAATTAAACATTTTTGCGACAAACTCAATCTCTCAAAATAAGTTCAGCTGTTATTGAAAAGAGGTTTCGGAAGAGCAGGTTTCGGAAAAGACGCGGTGTCTGGTATATAGGAATCAATGCTTTCAGTTTGAGAGTCCTCATGGGAAATAGGGGCCGTATCATACATAGACGGTAATCGGGCCGAGTAACAGCCGATTTCCTTTTTCTGACGGCGACGGCGACGGAGAAGCCTCTTTTCGCTCAGAACGCTATTGCGAGGGACAGCAGCGAGCGCTCACGCAGGCTCATAGACTATTCCAGAATCCTTGTTTTGTCGCACGGAAGCATTCCGCCATGTCGTCAATATTGAATGCGGTCGCCCGCCAAGCACCGAGACGCACATCGAGGCTCTGCATGATTCGCAAGCCTGTATCGGGTCCCGCACTTCGGGCAGCAGCATCGACATCCTCCTCTACCGGCGGCTCCATCCGTCCGCCCCGCCGTCCGCTCAGCACCCTCGCCGCAGTATCGCTCGTCGGCGCAGCCTCCCTCGGCGCATACACCCTCGGCTCGCTCTACCCCCCACCCCTCCTCAGCCTCCTCTACCCTCGGCCCGCGCCGGGTCCCCCGTCCGACATCAGCTCCGCCGAGTCCCTCGCCTACACCGCCGCGCTCGAGGCCGAGCTGCAGAGCCTGCCCGCGCTCGCCGCGCTGCGCACGCGCGCCGACGCGGGCGAGTGGTACGAGACGCGCCCGCAGACGAACATCCCCGAGGACGTGCGCGTGAACAAGCTCACGTCGGGCGCGCTGCGGGGCCCGGGGCGGCTTGCGCTGTACCCGCTCGCGCGCGTGAAGACGGACGAGTCGGCCGCGGTGATCTTTATCCACCTCGGGCGGGGGCTGTGTGGGCACGATGGGATCGTGCATGGTGGGCTACTGGCGACGTTGTTGGATGAGTGTATGGGCCGAAATGTACGCCGTGTCCGTACTTACGGATGAAGTGCTGACTGGATGGGTGCAGGCCATCATCAATCTCCCGGCCAAGGTCGGGGTCACCGCTACCCTGGGGCTGAAGTACAAGGCGCCGACAAAAGCTGACCAGGTCGGTCATCTTACGATGCTATGGATCGTCTCATCATCTGCGGCTTTGTAGTTCGTCATGATCAAGACTGAGCTGGTCGAACTAAAAGGCCGGAAAGCGATCGTCAAGGGCACCGTAGAGGCCCTTGATGGAACAGTTCTGGTCGAAGGAGAGTGCGTTGCACACCCAGTCGACTTTGATCCGGCACTGACTGACGCATTCTTGTATCTAGAGCCCTTTTCATTCAGCCTCGCTACGCCAAGCTACTGAATCCCCTTGTAATCCAGCAGCAGATGGGTGCTCCACCACTAGCTAGTAAACCGACATGAGCAGGTCTCGGGGGTCGGTTTTGGGTACACTAGACATTGACGGTAGATGTCCATGCCGACGAACATAGAAGTGCCAACGACGTGCAAGCCGGAACGACGACGGAGGTCCTCCCGCGACGTATGTAGAGGCTATCCGACCTCGACACCGCCGACATTAGTCACTATTCGCAGAGGAAACGGAGATATGCCGGACGAATTGGTGATGAGCGGAACCGCTTGACGCCCTTTCTCAGAAGACGTGTGCGTGAGCATCGTCTGGACTGCTTTCGTCAGCGTGGCAGCCAGTGTTGTGTCGAACTGTTGTCGGTCTGGAACGTGGATAGTAAGAGACCAGTCGGATCGGCTGGTGTGATCACGAGAACGCACCGCGGTCTGTTCTAGGCTGTCGCACCTCCGCGTTGATTACCCTGAGAGTGCAGAGACGAGCAGTCAGAGAACGTGGTCGTCGCAGAGCGGGATTCATGAACACACCACTGTTCCCATGGTACTTCCTCCTCACCCATGTACACTTGGAACCACGACTTCTTTGGCCGCTTTTCCGAGAACGTCACGGTGATCTGAGAATCTGATCAATCTCGGACACGCGGCTGCAAAGGGAGTCCTGCCTGCCCGCGTTTGCTGGACCCGGTCTCCACACTCCTCCGGAACGCCTCGACCTTCTCATTGACGAGCTGCTCGATCTCAGTGTCCGATACACCGGGCTATCGCGCGCGCATCAGGTCCGTTGCATCCGCATTGGCATCGGCACCGGCACCACCACGACTCACGAGCGTGACATCGAGAACTTCGAACGTCTGGGGCTTCACGAGCCCGAACAGGCGGTGGAAAAGGATCGCGTGCAGGACACCGTTGAGCACCTCCCTGGTCGTGTTGCGGTCGAGGACCTGTGGAGGAGAGGTCGGACTAGGTCTGGGCTCAGCATCACGGCTCGGATACCAGATCGATCGTGATGGTTGGGTAGGACGCGCTCATCGAATGGAGAGGGCGGAGAAGAAAGGAGGAGGAGGAGGGGCAAGCGAAAAGGGCATCACACAGCCACGTTGTACTGTACTGTATGATGTCATGCTCGATTGCAACCCCATGTTTCTCGTTGGGACAGTGGGAGGCAAACTTCTTGCCTGAGTACCTCCCATGGCTTTAGGACGAAATAATTTACGTCCTGATATATGTCGCAGTGTGGACGATTCCGCCTAGATTAATCCAGAGCATGAGTTCGAACAGTGGTCGCTCACAGCAAAGTATTACCCGCGTGGGTTAGCCCACGTCAGATGGGAAATATAATATGCAGATTCGAGGCATTGATCTCAGTGAAAAAGTTCGACGAGATCACGTTGTCCGGAATTGATTCCGCGAGCCACTCGCACGAACTTGCGCGGAACGATATGGCGCCAACGCTTCAGTTATGACTGAACAAAAATCAGAATAAGCTCTTGGACTATACCGGAGTCGAACCGATGACCTCCCGCATGCGAAGCGGACGCGCTACCAACTGCGCTAACAGCCCATGACTAAGCATCATCTTGTTGCATCTAAAATCAATTGCTGAACGATGCACCTCAGTCTCCAATACTGGCCTCATTCGAATTGGATCATATAAGTATATGTATCTACGGTTTGAGCAGCAGAATCCCCTTTGGAATATGGATGACTATCAACGAACAGAGACTGATGGCTCCCAAATTCACTCCCTCTGACTAAGTAAGACTGCACATACTAATGGCTATCAACTTTGACCTGAAGAAGCACCTGCCCCATTCAGTCATCGTATACTTATCCAATGCACGACTTCGCTCCGAACTCCTTCGCCGAGGACGAGGAGAACGAAGACGACGCGTGGACTCCCCTCCAGCTCGCAGCCTCGCAGGGCGACCTTCCCCTCGTGCAATCCCTCATTCCCACCTGCGACGTCAACGCCCCACCAAACGGTTTCTACGGCCGCAACGCCCTGCAGGCAGCCTCCGCGCACGGGCACCTCGCCGTCGTGCGCGCCCTCCTTGCCTCCAACGCTGACCCCAACGCGGCGGGCGGAAACAACGGTGGCCTCACGGCCGTGCAGGCGGCGTGCAGTGGCGGGTTCGCGGAGATCGTGCACGTACTCGTCGCCGCCGGTGCACGCATCGACGCGGGCCCCGCGCGCTACCGCGGGCGGTCGGCGATCCAGGCTGCCGCGGAGGGCGGGCACGTCGCGCTGGTGCGCGAGCTGCTGGACCTGGGCCGCGTGGATGTGAATGGCCCGATCGCGCGGTATGCGGGGTGCTCGGCGCTGCAGGGCGCCGCTGCTGGACGGGATACGCGGTATCTGGAGCTCGTGCCGATTCTGCTTGATGCTGGTGCTGACACGCCTACGGAGCGTATGAGCGCGCAGCCGTACAGGGAGATACAAGGGAGTAGTCGGAGGTCGAGGGGAGTGAGCTGCGGCTCTGGCTCGCGCAGTATTTGTGTGTGGGATTCTGATCCTAACAAGGTCAGGCTCGGGGAAATGGGCTCAACTGAAATGGGCGGGGGCAGCAGTGAGCAACAGGGGGAGCAAAGGGACAATAGAACGGGCGATGGGACGATAATGACGACGGAGGACAGGGCGAGAGCACGATAGAACGACGGGGAGATCAATATGTATGTCTGTAGCACGAAATGGGAGTTTCGGGCGCGATGTTGGGGAAATAACGCAGAAGTGGGCGTCACAAAAGCGAGATAGAAAGCACTGGGAGGTCGCTTTAGACTCTAGAGAGTGGGTGAAGAAGATTTCTTGTTTTTTGTACTGTACTACAGGTATTTTATACTAAGTGTAAATCAGATCAGAAGGAGATAAATAAATTGAACCTCCTGTTGATATGGTGACCATTGAGCTCTATGTTAATTTATTACTTTAGTCCGTGCTGAATTTCGCCGAAATGAAAGGAGTTAGAGCCACAAAGAGGGAATGAACTCCGAAATTGGATTCCGGTCCGAAGCTCTTCATCACGTGCCAGATCAATTGAGGCTGCTTTGTCAGCTCAAGCAGCTTGCTACGTCATATTGATGCGGCTTCTGATCAATTGATTGCGGGGCCAGGGTGCATCACTGCTCGTCATCTCCCTCCAACTGAAAATCTGACTGTCCCCAGTCAGTCGTCGAATCGAAATGAGGCTGAAGTGAGGGGGGATTATTGGTTCGGGGGCTTGATCACAATAGGTGCGTTCTGCGGAATGCGTTCTTGGTCATTGGGTTGCTAGAGCTCTGCTTCAGCGCCGCCAAACTCGCTCTGAGGCCCTGATTCTTCGTCGATCTCCTCCGGGTCCACCAGGAGGGATTCTTCGAGCTCACGCAACCGTTCCGTCGAAATATCGAGCAGATCCTCGAGTGGGGGAAGGGGAATAGAGCGGCGCGCAAAATAAGGTATGACGCGAAATGCGGCAATAGGCCGGTGGAAAACCGAGCCGTCGAGCTCACAGACGATGTAAGCGCCTCCCCGATTCCTTGAGACGACTATCAGCGGTCCCAGGTAGCGCTTGCGCATTTTCCTGCTCAGGGACTTCTCGATCGCCGTATTTCTCATCAAGACCAGGTCGCCGCGCTGAAAATCGTAGTCGCGGATCGTGTGCGCGTGCTCTTGCTCAAAACGGATCGCTGCTTGCACGCGGGCCTCGAGGACGGCGGAATGGAGGAACGCCATTTGTTCCCGGCGCTTCTGCAGGGCGATAGCACGGTGTGAGATGAGTTCCGTGGACGAAAGGACGGATGCGGGGGCCGGGAGGAGGTAGGTTGCTTCTGAGATGTCTAGTGGCAGCAACGGGTGCGCGCCGGTGACGGCAAAGAACGGTGAGCATCCCATACGTCGACGCACAGTCACTCGATCTGCCCAGAAGACTGAGTGGGCTGTCGAGTGCCATTTGGATTGGATTCCGTCCGCGGCTTTGAAGAGGGACTCCCGGACGTCGAAATGTGGGCGCTCCGCCAGATTTGCCTGGGAATTGTAACCGGAGATTCGGATGTGCCGCACGTTGTACTGTCTCTCCAGGTGAGTAAGCGCTTTCACAAACGGCGTCCCGTTGTCAGTCACGATCTCGACTAATGTCCCCCAGCGACACAAGATGTCCTGGAAGATCCACGTTGCGATCGCCGCAGCGTTTTCCTGACGAAGCATGCGCCATTCGGGGTAGTGGGTCAACGAACAACGCCCTTGGACGACGTACTTGAAGCCTCCGCTGGTGGGTAAGTGCATTGTATCCATGTACATTTTCGCAAAGATTGGTGCCGGGGTTGCGACTACAGGCGGTATGTGGATCCTGCGCGTTTGCCGTTGCTGACACAGATCACAGGTGCGGACGTACCACACCACGTCACTAGAGAGATGTGGCCACCAGAACCGCTCGAAGATTAGTGCACGCGTTGCAAAGAAGCCTTTGTGGCCTGTGTCATCGTGCGCAGATCGCATAATGAAGATTCGACGTGCAGGGGGCACGACCAGTTTATGTCGCCCATGTGAGTCTTTCCGCCATAGCGTGCCGTCGCTGATGAAGAACTCCATGCAATAGCGCACAAATGTCTTGTATTCGGCGTCGGACATGTCACGCGGACGTTGCAAGTTTCCGTGCCAGGCTTGGACCAAGTCGACTCGGTGATCCGCAAGTAGATCCGCCGGTGATCGAGGGACGTCCGTATAGGAAAGAGGGGGCGTTGGAGCGTTGACGACACTCTCTGGTACGTCGGAGTGTGTCTCATCAAGGAAGGTAGCCACTCGTTGCGGGGTGCTGTTCCGGTGGTACGGTGCGTCATTGATCATATGCACAAACCCATGCAGCTGATCAACCCAGTCGTCAAAATCGTTGTCTTCTTCTGCTGTATCGCCAGGCTGTGGGGGTCGTCTAGAAAGGCCATCGGGACGGTGAGAGATACCGGGGACATGAACGAGCTCAAAATGGAAGGTGAGTATACTCAAAATCCACCTATTGATTGCTGCGTTGGGCGCTAAATCCGGGTTTGCCAGCATTCCTTTAATGTACCGTGCGTCCACTTCGACCACGAGGTTGCGCAAACCAATTAAGTGCATCTTCCATGCTCGAAGGGCTCTGAACAAACCATACAGCTCGAGCTTGGGCTGCGAAAACCGGGATTCGCGCTCGTTCAGCGTTATTGATCCAAAACGTGCGTAGAACCGTCGAGCTAGATTTTGTGGATCACACTGCGCAAGGGTGGAGCCAACAGCAATGTAGGATGTATCGACTGAGAGGATCACTGGGGCCAGGGACGTGTAGTCGAGAGGACGGAGCGCCGGTGAGCTAAGTAGGGCTTCTTTCAGATCGTCTTGAGCTCTGACCTGTTCGTTGCCAAAGACAAATGGGACGTCTTTTCGGGTCAGCGATACGAGAGGGCTTGCCCGGCGTGCAAAATCACGTATGAACATTCGTACCACGCCAACCGTGCCAAGGAAAGCACGGACTTCGGACAGATCACGGCACGGTCCCCAACTGGCTATCTTCTCGACGCGGGAGGGGTCAGGGATGCGCCCTTCGTACGTGCAGACGTGGCCAAGGACGGTGATCGTTTCGGCGCATAAAATGGCCTTGGGCCCAGAAAAGGTACCTCCGCAGTACTTCATCCGTTGTACGATCCTATTGAGCGTCTGGAAGTGCTCCCAGACAAATCGTCGAATCCCCGGATTGTCTGGAATGACCTCGTACCCGCCGCCGGGGAGCTCGTAACGGGTGGATGGTCCACGGACTGGGGTGTCGTCGATGTAGGGAATTGTGAAGTGAGGGATTTCGGGCTGAAGGATGAAGGTAACGTCGTCGTGGAAGATGGGTACGGAGTTTGACCATCCCATAGGTAAACTGGTGAGTCGCAGGGCGCCAAAAGGTGACTGGAACGTGGTGAAGTCACGGGAGGCTTCGTCAAGTACGCGCTCATCATAGCCAACGTAGAGATCAAGGATGCCGCCACATGCGCGGCCCGCAAACTGCTCGGCAACTTGATCGGTGAGTGGTGGAACACCCGAGTGCTGAATGGTGACCGCGTTTAGCGGCTCGAGACTGTGCACAAGACGGAGGCTGCTGCCGTCCTTCTTTACCACGCAGAACCAGCGCGACCGGTATGATGAATTTGACGGTTCGTAGACGCCAGCTGCCATCTTGCGGCGTATCAGCTCACACACTTCATTGTAGATGCCCGGTGGAACGGGAATGTTGCGCTGGACCCATGGCTTGTGTGGGACCACTGGCATGATCACGGGGTGAAAGAAGTCGGTACGGAACTTCCCTCGCTCTGTATCTGTCCAAGCGAAGCCATCATTGTGCAGACACATGAAATGGTGCATTAATCGTCGTTCCTCGGGCCACAGGAAGTCCCCGGGATGAAGGGAGTCGATGATATCGTGGCGCTCTGAGGTATAGCGGCCAGTCGGGACAAATGGAGGAGGATGGGGATCGAGGGTAGGAAGGGAGGCAAGTGGATCACCCCGTATTTCACGGACAATTCGAAAGTGCTCGGGTAGAGTACCAAGGACAGGGCGCACTTTTTGCGCTACCGGTTTGTATCGTTTCTTGGCAAACACGTCGACATGGGAGGCGGCATAAGGATTGGACGCAGATGTGGATTGGTCATAGAGAGGGACAGACACGTCGTATGGAGTGAAGATAGCTGGCGATGCGAACGGCAGAATGAACGGGGGAGTTGAATCCCCCGGTGGGGACTCGGACCCCGCAGTAGATAACGGTTGTGCGTTTGAGTATGCATACTGCAATTTTTCCGAATATTGGTCCAAATTATCACAACCTGTAAGATAAAGAATATTAAGGTCAGCAGACGAATATTTATCAGGGAGAGAAACGGAGGCTTCGAGAATCAATTTTTGGGGGTCTTGTGGGTCAGGTACGATGATAAAAGCGGCCTCTCCTTGATCTGGGATCAAATCCTCGAGTTGGGAAAATCCTGGATCCGGGGACGAGAGCCACGGGGAACAGTAGCAATTGTGGTGATCTTGCCGGTGTTTGGGTCTCGAATGGTGATCGTCTGGTTCTCGTCGGCGTAATTTCGGATGATGCTTTCCGTCAGGACATCGAAGGGACGTCCCAGGAGGATGTCGTAAGCAGGATTTCGTACAACATGAACCTGCAAGTAGAGGGTGATATCCCCGAATGCGAAAGGGATGTTCCGTGCGAGGCCAAGAGAGGGGGATATCGATCCGTTTGCTGACTGCATTCGGAGGACAACCGTGGGGTCGTAGGACGAGCCAAGCTGGTGGCAGACTGCCTCAGACATCGCGATGATTTGAGAACCGCCGTCAATGATGGATTCAACCCTGAGCCGATTGTCAACCACGGGAAGGACAGATCGAATGGCCGAGGACTCCAGGGAGACAACCAGGTCGTCAATAGACGCGCCGGAATGCACCAACGTCTCGTAATAGTCCGGAATAATGATGGCGCCAGGTGGAAGGGTCGAATTCATGTAACCAGCGGGCATCGAGTCGAAAAATGCAGCATTTCGTGCGTCACTGCGCTTCTGCTCGTCCAGTGTCTCGATGTAAGGGTCTGGTGGCAGGGGATCAACGGTATATTGTTCATAAATGTTCGTTGAGACTGGCGGGGCCGCGGTTTTACCATCAGCAGCCGGAGCAACTCGACGGCTACTGGTAGCATCGCGCATGCGGGAGCGCACCTCGGGGGAAATAGACATCAACTCCTGGACGGAGTTCTCGATTTTCGTGTCCATTATGCGCCCAAATACAGCGTCGGCGTGTTTCTCGTCGTAAACCGGGGCTGAGGAGCGATAGGCCGGTTCGTTTTTCTTGGTTACTGGGGCGGGAACTCGTGCGCCAAAATTGCGGTCTTGTGGTGGCGCATAAGCGGCGTCTCTTGCACGGGCATACGGATGCTCGGGCACAGCGTTGGTCGGAGAAATAGCAGGCGCAGGGGCCGGAGCTGAAACCGGAGCACGGGCCGGCGTAGCAACAGCAGGGGCTGGAATACGAGCTGGGGGCGGTGTCGAGCGGATGGCCTGTTCAGGAGCTTCGGTAGGATCCCCAGATCGATCCCTGGCTTCGATCGCAGCACGGGCTTGTTGTCGAGTACGGACTGCCCAAATTTCGCGCTCTAGCTGCTCCAAACGTTCAGAATCCGTGAGAGAGAAGGTAGACACAGGAGGACTGAGTTTATTGGATGAAAGGAAATTCGTCGAGATGTCCTGGAAATTTGAGGCAGCTGTTTGTCCGGGATTCTGCCGGTGCCATTCGTCGAATCGAGCACGTAAATTAGCTCCCGCGATACGGCGTGGGATGTAGGCGCCGCTGGGTAGGACAACTTGTCCTTCAATGTTGCGTTTGCACTTGCCTGCGCGTATGTCATCCTCGACACGAGGGCAGCGCGCAATAAAATGGCCAGATTCACTGCAATATGAGCAGTTCGAGTCGCGTGGAGGCGCAGGGTATGAAGGCAACGGCGTGGTTGATGAAACGGCGGGCGCAGGGCCTAGGCGTGCAGCGTTCTGCGCCATAAGGAGCTTGAGGATTTCGCCGAGAATAGCCGAATTAGGGTCAGCTTCGGACTTGACAGTGACCGGGGACGAGGCAGCTGGAGGCGCCGTGGTCTGAAACGAAAATGACCCAGTGGAATCAGCCAAAACAAATTCCACGGCTTCGTTCATATCACCGAGTTCATATGGGTCTTCAGGATGAACATCAGGCTTCTTAATTTGTAGCCGCTGGTGCACGCGGTTCCAAAGCGAGGCAGGAGCGATGGCGGTTCGAAACGCCCGGGACTGCTCAACCAGAGACAGCCGTTGCTTTAATATGAGGTATTTCGAGATGACCAGGAAAAGGCGATAAAATTCGCTATATTCAGCGCGTGAGTGAATCCCAGAGCTGGTGTATTTGCCAATGAGCGCGTGGAGGTCTGAGGTAGCATATTTGCGGTCAGAATCTGTGCCAGGATAAAGCTTTAAAACTTCTGCTTTCCATGCGTCGTAGTTGTGAGGCGCGGCAAACGAATCTAGAGACTCCCAGAGCTCAGCTTCATCAAAAGGGAGAAACCGCAGGGCGTGGCGCTTCCGTTCTTGAGCATCGGCGATGCTGGCAAGCCCGAAATGGTATTCCAGGTCCGTGAAAAAGCGTGGAAGCTCACGGGGCTTCGATGGGTCGAATTCAGGTGCTCCTCGGGCACCACGGGCGGGCATGGGCACAACAGCTGCCATGTTCTGGTTCGGAGGCGGTGGAGGCGGTGGAGGCGACGGAGAGGGTGAGACGGGACGGAGAATGAAAGGAGGTGATGAGGACTGCGACGAGGACGAGGAATCGGTGAAGGGATCGATGGTGGGCAGGTAAGAATCTGATGACTCCAAGTTGTAGGGATGGGAGAGTTCGTGAGGAACAGGAACCAATAAGTCCTCTGAGGACGAATCGGTGTGATGTGCTGCGTCCGAGAGATTGAGAGGGTTCTGGGAAATAGCCCTGAACTCTAGACGGAGATTTCGAGGTTCAGACGGGCGGAGGGCGCGGTTAGAGCCTGAATCAATGTTGTAATTGGAACAAATCCCGCCAGGGGTTCCAAAATGACACGCCTACGGAGCGTATGAGCGCGCAGCCGTACAGGGAGATACAAGGGAGTAGTCGGAGGTCGAGGGGAGTGAGCTGCGGCTCTGGCTCGCGCAGTATTTGTGTGTGGGATTCTGATCCTAACAAGGTCAGGCTCGGGGAAATGGGCTCAACTGAAATGGGCGGGGGCAGCAGTGAGCAACAGGGGGAGCAAAGGGACAATAGAACGGGCGATGGGACGATAATGACGACGGAGGACAGGGCGAGAGCACGATAGAACGACGGGGAGATCAATATGTATGTCTGTAGCACGAAATGGGAGTTTCGGGCGCGATGTTGGGGAAATAACGCAGAAGTGGGCGTCACAAAAGCGAGATAGAAAGCACTGGGAGGTCGCTTTAGACTCTAGAGAGTGGGTGAAGAAGATTTCTTGTTTTTTGTACTGTACTACAGGTATTTTATACTAAGTGTAAATCAGATCAGAAGGAGATAAATAAATTGAACCTCCTGTTGATATGGTGACCATTGAGCTCTATGTTAATTTATTACTTTAGTCCGTGCTGAATTTCGCCGAAATGAAAGGAGTTAGAGCCACAAAGAGGGAATGAACTCCGAAATTGGATTCCGGTCCGAAGCTCTTCATCACGTGCCAGATCAATTGAGGCTGCTTTGTCAGCTCAAGCAGCTTGCTACGTCATATTGATGCGGCTTCTGATCAATTGATTGCGGGGCCAGGGTGCATCACTGCTCGTCAGTGCGGACGCAGATGCCCCGCCAGCGCGGTATAACGGCCGCACGGCTCTGCAGGCTGCAGCACAATCGGGGTACCTCGAGATGTTAGACCTGCTGCTACGACGTGGCGCTAATGCCAACGCGCCCGGTGCGTACTACAACGGACGCACAGCGCTCGCTGCGGCGGCTGAAGCCGGGCACAAGACGGTAGTACGGAGGCTGCTCGAGAGTGGCGCAGACGTATACGCTCTCTGCGGTAATCCGCCACAGCGCAGGGCTCTGGAGCTTGCGGTCGCGGCTGACCAGTCGGATGTCATTCGTCTGCTGGAGTCGGCAGAAGGGTTAGGTTGCGAGGAACTGCTTGAGGAGCAGGACGAGTGATACACGCTATTCCCGGTCGCAATCATGTCTTCCTCAATCCACCAGCCCAAAATTCTGGCTCGCGCGTCGCGTCTGCCCTCTACGGGCCAGTCAATCTGCAATTCCCGCCCACGGATGAGGGATTGGTATATCTGTATCTGCTTCTGTTCGATGGATATTATATTATTGTCTACTATATACGCAGAGCGCCATTCATCAGATCCACGTATGGTTTCGAGTAAACTACATGCGAAGGCGCGGAATCAAACTAGGTGCACTCCCCTGGGAGGGTCCCGGCTGGGATCCTTCGACTGACCAAATTGAGTGTGAGACCTGTTAGCGTCTACAACGAATGCGAAAGCTGAATTGCATTGATGACGGAGAGAGACGGTCAATAGACCGGCGCCGGAATACGGGCTTGGTCGGACGGGTCTGATGCATCAGGCCACAGAACCGCACCAGCACACCGAAAGTAGATGGAAGATCGAACCGAGTCATCTGATCAGACAATTGACCAGCCTGCAAAAATAGGGGATCGGGTTCCCTGATGAAGTGCTGGATCTTTACTCGCGCATTGCACGAGAGCCCAACAAGGATTCTAAACTCAGCACGAGGCGCTGCAGGCTGTTCACGGGACCAATGCAGCCCACAATGAACATGTTCCCCCGCCGTATCGCCAATGCAAAGGCTAGTGAACGTGAGTAAGGGCACTGATACCGTGAGGCGTGGATCTTGGAGAACTTGTTCCGCGGTTTGCGTGAGTATGGAAAACACGGAATGGCCAGATGGAGAACGGACTGGAGGTTCAGTGTAGGACAAAGCAGCGATTAGTCATGTCTGCTGCCGGCGGGGAGAGAATCCGGCGAGCGGAATAGTACCGGAATCCGGCGATTCCATTCCTACAGGTTGCTTTGCAGAAATTGGAGCTTGAAGGAGTCCCATCCCCTGTGTCCCCAAAGCTGGGAATTCATCTTTGTCTATTTGGGGCGATAGGTCAGGTCAGTGCGTTGCAGCATTTGTGTGTGCAGATTGTCGTCGTCAGCAGTCGAGTTGCGTTTCAGATCATCGATCTTGAGGGCTTCGGCTTTGGAGCCGCTGAGTCATCCATCTATCAGCTGATCCCCGCACGTCCTTGGCTTGCTACCTCCGACTTCCTACCCAACCTCCCCCGGATTTGTTTCGAGCCTTATCCAGTTTTGGACTCGGACTCGGACTTTTCGACCCACCTCACGCTCATTACCCACTGCATGTGACACACGACAACAAGCTAACCAGCAAAGAAACAAAGTCTAGCCTGTATCTGAGAAGAAAAACTTCAGCAAAATGAGTAGCAGTGCGTCTCGCGTCGGTGTTTTGTGGAGGACTAGGAGACTGACGGTTTCGGTTTCTTTCACTTGGATGTAGGCTTGTGCGTATACCAGCTGCTTCGCCCTTCCGGTCTCTGTGTACCCCTCGGCTGACGATAACGACAGATCATCTCCCGTGCTCCCGCCCGTAACTATACCCTCCGTCTCATCGACCCCGAGTGTCACTCCTCCCCTTCCTCCCGTGACCACCCCTTCCTCCTCCGCACCGCCTACCACTCCTGTAACCAATCCCGTGTCTACACCAGCCACAACGTCGAGTGCTCCCACTACGACAAGCGTCGCGCCGACGTCCACGAGCACCTCAGTACCCTCGACGTCGTCTACCACGCCTTTGACCACATCGTCTTCGTCCAGCAGCACCAGCACCAGCACCAGCACCAGCAGTACCACGAGCATCAGCATCCCGCCGACGACCTCCGCGACAACAGCACTGCCCACTACCTCGATCTCATTGGTGCTCTCGACGGACCCTGGTGGAGTGGTTGTAACGCAGACGTTGACACAGACGCAGTCGCGGACTATCGCGCCTGCTGCGACGAGCTCGGCAGCCGCCCGAACGCCTACTGGGTGAGTCGAGTTCTTGTCCGCGTTGCTTTTCGTTCGTCGTCCGCATGGCTACGGCGCACTATCCGGTTCCTTGTCCGGTGTGCTTTCGCTGTCCCCGCCACGGGGCTGCCAGCTATGCCTATTGTCACGCACGGCTATCATCCCTCGAAACGCATTCACACGTGCGTGCTGGGCCTGGGGCGATTGGCGATCTGTCACGTCTGGGTCCATGCATCACATGGTTCAGCCGCCTACCTGTCTGGTCTTTCTGTCGTTCTAGGCGTTGCGTCCGAAGTAGCGTGTGCTGACGACGTTTCCCGCAGGTTTTTCCAGAACAAGGCTGCTGTCGGTGCGACCTTCGCCATCGTTGGCCTGATCGCCGTGGGGCTCATCTTCGCGGTCATCACGACAACTCTGCGCCGGAAGCGGGTAGGTGCCTCCTGCACTTTCCGAAGAGTCTGCTGATTGCCATGCCAGGCTCGCGCTTTCGACCGGGAAATCGCTGAAGAAGCCAAGCGCGCGCCTCCGCCTGTCTTCTTGGATGACGAGGATTACGGCGCCGGATACTCCTATGCCGACCCGGTTTACGGCGGTGCCGCCAAGTCCGTGTCGGAGGGTGCATACCCGCAGTCGTCCGAAGGGGCACACAGTAATCCGAATGGGCATACGCCGTCGAATTACATGTATCCCTCCGGATACTCTGACCTCGGGTTCTCCGAGGTCAGCAGCCACGGCACGTTTGCGCAACCGGCCATGGAGGCACAGTATGGAAACAACAACGCCGGTGGTGGTGCGGGCGGGTTTGCTGGATACGGCGCGGCGGGGGCTTATGAGATGTCGGGTTACGGCCAGCATCAGCAGCAGCAGCCCCAGCAAGATTGGCAGCAGCCCCAGCAAGGCGGATATGTCTATCCCGGTGAAGAGCCACAAGCAGGCACGTACCCGCAGGCAAACACCTACCCACCAGCAGCCCCGTCTGCCAGCGGTAGTGGCAGTGGCAGTGGCAGTGGTGCTGATCTGGGACGAAGCAAGAGCGGGGGACGAAGTCTGGTCGATGCCTACGCCAGCACTCCGGGCGCAGTGCCACATGAGCCAGCGCAAACGCAGCCCCAGATGCCGGTGTATGCGAACGGGTATGCGTCACAGTACCAGACCCCGCACCTCGAGGATAGCGCCGATGCGTATGGTGGCGTGGAGAGCCAGCATGGACACGTCGGTGGATTGGAGGATGAGGAGGAGGACTATGAGCCTGCGCCCAGAGTGTTGAAGGTGCGTGATTCCAGATAGAGTGCCCTCGTGTGAGCAATTGCTGATGGCTCCTCTGCACAGATCGCCAACGAGTAGACGCTGTTGACCGATCTCTCCGGGCAAGACGTGCACACCTGCGTCAGTTGTTGTTCATTCCGTGCTTCTCCCTGCGACCCAATCACTGTGCTATCACCCTCGTCTCTGTACCATCCGCTTCGCCGCTCGATGTATGTACGAAGACGAACGCTATTTATACTCTACGTTATCACTTTCTTCTCTCTCTCTCCCCCTCGTCGTGTCCGTGCATGTGTGTGTATCGGCAGAGCGTTTCATAGACCTCGTCCATGCCCCATGCGTCCCACTCCCGACTTTTTTACTTACCGTTTTTTTACCTACTTCTACTCAGTTACTTCTTTGTGTTCGAGATCATGGTCTTGAATATACAGTATCGTTTCCTCTCACTGGGCAGTTGATTCGAGCAAGATGTCAGCTCGTGGAAACACGAAATGACATGGCTCTGGATGTTTGCTCCGGTGGGGGCCTGCCTTCCGAGTCGTCATTCATATAGCTTGCTTGCCACGATCAGTAGCGGTGCAAGACTTCCATAGCCGTCGGTGGGCCACATTCTCTACGTAGCAAGTCTCCCATAGATTTCGAAAGTTTATTTTTGAACACCCCTTCCTCTGGAGAGTAGCGTCCTGCCCGGAAGAGGCTGTTTCGCCACGTGGTCGGCGCATTTTGACATATCCTGTGGTGAATTCAATGTGCCTGGTCAGCTCGACAGTGCGCTCATTCGACGAGATCAGGTTTCTTCAACTTACGGCTTGGATGATCACTTCTTTGAACCCTCCGATACCCGGGCAGACACCCCGGATGCTCCGCAGATTTCAAATAGGAGGCTCAAGTATAAATCCTGCGACTCTCCGCAGTGAATCGTATTAACAAAAAACGCATTTTGAACTTTGCACCTCTCACCGAAATCCCTCAATGGAAAACAACCGAACGTCTGGACAGAATCTCAAGAAAGAAGTGGACATCAAAAACAGTGCGCATCCTAACGCTGCTATCCAACATGTTCTAACCTCGGAATGGCAGTCGTCGGTGACGGTGACAAGCGGATCTCGAAGCCGAACCCGGCGACCATCTCCTCGGATTTGAGCGCGACGGTCTTGCAGGGCGACTTCGTTTACTTTCTGCGTGCTGTGATCGGTAACAAGCTCGACAAGCTCGTGAAGATCCGGCTCCAGCGTGGGGGGTGGGAGAAGTGGTTCCAGGTCGAGCTCTGCCTGCTCATCAACCATTTCCACGACCGGAACAACGTCCATGCGGTGTACTCCGCCGAGCGCGAGGAGCAGGTCTTCCCGGGGACCAGGAAGTCCGTGGATGTCTCAATCTCCGAGGGTGGCAAGTACACGCATGTTCTCGAGCTCAAGTGCGGGAGGAACAATCAGTCCGCCAACGACCTTGCCCAGGACATTTGGGATGACTGGGAAAAGGTCGGCGCGATCACTGGGAACGGGAATGGTCCGCTTCAGCCGAAGCTCGCTGCGGCCTCCCGTGTGGCCGTGTGTGTGTCGATTGACAAGCCGCCCCCCCTGGATGGAAATTGGACCTGCTACACCGTCGATGGGGCAGAGCAGGGCGTGCCTCACAAAGCCTACATTCACTTGCGCTACTTGACCAGATACTGAGGAATACCAATGGTACGGCTTTCATCTTCAACTTGTAGAGTGGAGATACCAAACCTGGCCGGATAATTCAACCCTCACTTCAATGCCTTCTTATCTCTCAAGTAATCGTTCTTCTTAGGCTGTTCCCAACCTTTGAATCAATTATCGCCGTCATGTTGCGCACGCACGAGCAAGATCTGAGAAACTGAACGGAAACCATCTGAGTAGCAGCTTGGGTTCGCAGGACCACCACCTGAAAAGGCAACTTATCGTCCCTAGCGAGCAGAATGCACTTCCATGTGGGGAAAGTCGTAAAAATTAGAACATGATAACTTGTGCTCTCCGTTTTTTGTGCTGAGCTCATCTTCTTGGGTAGTTTCCTCGCACCGACCGTCACTCATGATAATGTATCATATTGTCACGCCTTATCGAATCACCGGCAGGATTTGATATTGCCTTTGTCCGCCTCAGTCGCTGAAGAAGGGGAAACAGGCTTACATCGAATTGGCGGGGCTTCAGGTCCGTTTATGTCAACATATAGCCATCCGCAGGCACTGTCGCCGCCTCGCACAGACCAAGGTCTATGCAAGCATGAGCTTGATACTTCTGCCACAGAAACCCAGCTCTTTTCCCTCTTTTTCGAAATGTTAATGCACCCCATCCCATGTCGTCGATGGCCCAGAGGAGACAATCGAGCGTAGAAAAACGAAAAGAGATGAAAAACTGTTGTATTCAGCCAATTACGGCTCGTATCGAGTGACGGCATAGACGGACCTGGAATTGGCATCAGGAACTATCGGCTCGAATTGTGGGCTGACAAGCGCACGTCTTGGACGGAATAGCTTTTGCTCTCTGACGGTTGGTGACACATAGCTTGGATGTCCGGAATGCACCGGTGAGACGGGTTACACGATCCAGAAAACTTTGTATTAGGGGAATGGAAGCGGAGAGGCCGGTGGCTATAAAAGGAGTCACTCTCCAGAGCCCAAACCCTCACAAGCATCAACTGCACCACTGCGAGACAATGGAAGGTGATAACCAGAATTCGGGTAGCACCCCAATCAACACCGGCGTTTCTCTTAATACTAGCTCCTGTAAGCTTTTTTTTTTCAACACCCGCACATCATTCAGTGATCTGACTCATATCCGCTGCATCCACGATGTGTCACATGTCGTGGAGATCAAGTGCGGCCTGAGCAGCGCGACCACTGCGGATTCGAACAAGCGCGCATATCTGGACATGATCAAGCTCGGTGGAAAGCCCGAGATCGGCCAGCTTCCGCAACTCAAAGTCAAGTACGGAGATGCAGCGAGGATTGTGCTTCTGCTCATTGTAGACGGCGCGGTGCCTGACGCAACCCAGTGGGATTTCACAGGCAGAATCGATTGTGCCTGTGAGTTCGACAAGGGGGACCATTTTGTCTCGTATTATATCCAGTACTTGTCTGAGACTCCGGGGGCCATCGTCCAGTGAGAGGGTGCGGGGAGATCTCAATCGCATTGAAAGCAAATTATGAACGCGCTTTCTTCACGGATGACTTGTCCATAGTATATCTTGCCTGTCCCAGATAGTATTCGCTATACATAGTAATACCCAGCAATTTACATTTTGCATATTCTATGCTTTGCAACTTGAACACATTTCTGGCGGGGGCCAGTTGAGCGCAGAATTCAGCAAGTCACATTAATCAAACAACTTGGTGCCAAATAGACCGCGACACGGGGCTGAGTGTAGACGTGAGATAAAGTATTTCGCTTCAGTTTGATAAGCAGAAGACCATCCAATTCAAAGTTTGATTCATTGACTGTTCATCTAGAATTTAACATGATGGCGTGATTTTGATGTAGATTGGTTCTCTACTGTCTTTCGACTTGCTTCCTAGCAACACCGGCAACCGAGTAAACTGTTTAGGATGTTGGTTGTGATTGAAGTTCATTCAAACATGGTTTCTCCGATCCTGCTTTTATTGTAGGAAGAGAGATAAGTGATTCACAGCCCTTAAAAGCGTTAAAGCCTAGAGGAAAGTAACTAATCGCCAAATGAGAGAGCGAGAGATTGTGGCTGAATTATTCATGCAATCTAGGACCATGTTCAGTTTGTTGACTACATAAGTCCTAAACAAAAGTCCGACCATTGGGATCTCAGTACCGGGTCAGGTAGCGGAAATGAAAGTAGACTGTGTGGGGCTGGCCATCAACCACTCCATTCACAGTGTAGGGGCTCCAATTCGTGGTCAGGAGGGGCGGATCGTCCACAGTCACACAGACGGCCACACGGGAGGCCGCCGCGAGCTTCGGCTGAAGCGGCCCGTTCCCGTTCCCAGTGATCCCGCCGACTTTGTCCCAGTCCTTCCAAATGTCCTGGGCAACGTCGCTGGCGGACTGATTGTTCCTCCCGCACTTGATCTCGAGCAGATGCGTGAGCTTCCTGGTCTCGGGCGAGTTACCTTCGGAGATGATGACGTCCGCGTACTGTCTGGTCCCTTGGAAGACCTGCTCCTCGCGTGTGGCGTGGTACAGCGCATGGACGTTGTTCCGGTCGTGGAAATGGTTGATGAGCAGGCAGAGCTCGACCTGGAACCACTTCTCCCATCCGCCGCGCTGGAGCCGGATCTTCACAAGCGGCTCGAATTTCTCGGTGAGGACTGAGCGCAGGAAGTAGAGCAAGTCGTTTTGCAGAGACGTCGCGTCTACGTCCGAGCAGATGTTCTCCGGCACGGGGTTCCGGATTCGCTCGTAATCAAGCACTGGATTTACGAAGTGAGAACATGTCGTAAAACAATGTTATGACGCGCACCGTTTGCGGTGTCCACTTCTCTCTTGAGCTTCTTTCCGTAATTTTCGTAGTCGGCCATTGAGGGCTTTCGGTTAGTGTTGTAGAGCTCGAATGGGTTCCTTGTTGCCATTTAGTGAAGGAGGGAGCAGAATTTATACCAAAGCTACGTGTTCTAAATCGCCGGAGCATTCCGGGTGTCTGCCCTGTGTAGCGGCGGGATCGGAGAAGTGATTATTCAAGCCGTAAGTTGCGCGAAAATTGATTTTGTCGAATGAGCGTGCTGTCTAGCTCACCAGGCATATTGAACTGACCGCAGGATGCATGTGACATCTGCCTTGGCATCAACACACAGCCATCAGGACGCAGGCACCGCCCCCTGTCAAAATGTCATCGTGCACTCAGATGCTTTTCCTTCTCTGCCGGGAGCAACGTCTCTGCCCGACTTTGAGACCTCGGGATGGACCTCATCCCAGGTCTTCGCGAGTCGATCTGTGGAATACGGGTGCTCAACAGCCATACTCAATCGACTACTTCTGTCGACCAAGTACCTTCCTGTGGCTGATGACATTGAAGACCTGGAAATGGCAGCATGTATTCTCGGCTACGAGGGGAAATAGAAGAGCGCACATCTTGGGAGGTCACGCGTTCTGATCAGCGAAGGCTTGTGACATACAGCTTGGATGACGATGATGCATCGGTGGGACGTCTTGCACAATCCGGAGACTTTTGCACGAGATGAATGTAGCGGAGGAGGGAGTGGATATAAAGGACCTCACAGCGCTGAAAACCTTAAAGTCTTCAACTGCATCACATCGCAACAATGTACGGCCGCAACCAGAATCCGGATGGCACCCCAATCAACACCGCCGTGTTTCTCAATACTCGCACCAGTAGGTTTCCACTGCGCTAGCGCATCGCTCATTTCTATGATTCCAATTATTTGCTGCTAGACACCAAACTCAAGCGAGACCTCTCCCGAGCTGATTTCGAATCGTTTGTGTCCGCCGTGATCGAGACCAAGTTCCAACGCCTTGTGCCTGCATTTGCCCTGCGCGGGGGTTGGGAGCGCTGGTTCCACGCTGAGCTGTGCCTCCTCATCAACAACTCCACCCAGGCCCCAGGCTACTATGCTGACCGCGAGCCCCCCGTGTACGCCGCCTCGGGATATGCGGACATCGCGTTTGAGGACCCGGTCACTCATGTTGCATCGCATGTCGTGGAGATCAAGTGCGGGCTGAACAGCGCGACGCCTGCGCAGTCGAACAAGCGCGCGGCGCAGGACATGGTCAAGCTCGGTGGGGATCCCAAGACGGGCAAAGCCACGCAGCTCAAAGTCAAGTACGAGGAGACAGCGAGGATCGTGCTTCTCCTCATCGTGGACGACGCGGTGCCGGACACAACCCAGTGGGATGCCAGCAACACGATCTCCCGCCTCTGTGCTTTCGACAACAAGCAGCATATCGTCTCGTATTATATCCGCTACCTGCCGGAGAAGCTCCGGGTGGCCGTCCAGTGAACAGTGCGTGTGGTATCTATTAACGCGGAAAGCAAATAATGAAGGAGATTGCTTCCCAGATCATTGCTTCCTCATTGTCTATCCGGCATGTCTCAGATGCTGTTCGCTATAGCTTGTCTCCTAGCACTACACGTCTTGAACACTTGATGCTCTATATCTTCGACACTTTATTCTCTAACATCGTGAACAATTTGTGCGCTACATCTTCAACGTAAATCTCCTGGCAAATTGTTGCAGGAACAGAGTCCAGAGCTCGATAGAATAATTGTTGGATGAAGTGGGGAGTAGTCCAGGCAATATCAATAATGATTGATTGGTCGGCTCAATGAAATGTCACAGGCCTTCCGTATCGCACCCAGCTCATCGAATAAGTTTCAAGAAACTCGGCTCATTTGAACCGCTTCATTTTCATCCAGAGTCCTTGCTTTCGATGTAAATATATCATTGGATCATCAGCATTATCCAATTTTCTCATGCATCCAAAACAGGGGGCTGTGGATATCCCCTACTGAAGGATAGATGTTTGATTGCTTTTTTATCCTTGTGAGTATCGTCTTTAGGCCAGGGTGCCACACACACCATGCCAAATTCGCCATCACACACAAGCCAAGGGGCAGCCGCACTCCGTCCATTTTGATTTTGAATACAAATGGCTTAATTCACCAGGGCTATTTGTGCAAGTGGACTGGGATTTTTGATGCGTATATCCTTCCGTGGATCCAATGTGCCTGCCTGTTCAATCGACAGCATGTTCATTGGAAGGGATCAGTCTCGTTCGACGGACGGCTCGAATGTTGATCTCTTTAAGCACCGCGATAAACCCAGCAGACGTCTCGGATACTCCGCAATATTCAAATGGGTAGCTCAAGTATAAATTCTGTCCCCTCCGCAGGTGAGCCACAACAACACACGCATTTGAACTTTGCACCACCGACCGATTTTGTGCCATGGACGACGACGAAAAGCTGACGAAGAAGTTGAAAAAGGAAGGGTTGGAACTCATAAACAGTATGGACTATATGGTACCATTCAACATCATCTAACTTCGGAAACCCAGTGCTCGATTACGACCGAGTCCCAAAAATCCGAACCCGGATACCATCCGCTCAGATTTCAACGTGTCGATTTTGCAGAATGGCCTGGTTTATTTCCTGGAAGCGGTGATCAAAAAGAAGTTTGAGAAGCTCATTCGGATCCAGCCCCAACGCGGCGGGTGGGAAAAATGGTTCCAGGTCGAGCTCTGCCTGTTCATCAACCACTTCCACAACCGGAAGGACGTACATCCGGTGACGTACCACGCCACACGCGAGGAGATGACCTACGAGGGGAGCAGAAAATCCGTCGATGTTCGCATTTCCGAGGGCGCCTCGCTCGAGACCAGCAAGCTCACGCACGTCCTCGAGATCAAGTGCGGGAAGCACAACCAGACCGCTGGTGAAATTGCCACCGAGATTTTGAAGGACTGGGGCAAGCTCGGCGCAATCACTGGGAATGGGAATGGGCCGCTTCAGCACCCATAGTGCTAGGATTTATCATATGGCTATGGTGCTAGCCATAGGAATTCCATCTTAACGTATGGTACTAGCCATGGCATGGCTAGCACCATGCGTTTCACTGCCATCTGCACGGGACACATGGTCATACACCGCCACCTCATTCCCGTCTAGGACAGCATCTGATTTACCATCAGCTGCCGTTGCTCTCAGCGTTGATGGCGGCTGATGGCGGGTTCATGCTATCAATTCGGATGGCGGGCACACAATCATATCTAATCTTGTGGGTTTCGCACAATCATATCTAATCTGGCGGGTTTCAAATGCCCGTTACTATTGAATGAACGCATATAATGATATCTAATCGATAGTAGATACATCTGTGGCAATCTTATCGAGCATGATGTCCTGGCGCTCCTCGTCATACCGAATGTGTCCGATGCGGCCGCCCCAGCTGATCCTCAGATGCTCCTGAAGGCCAGAATGCCACGCCGCCTGCTTCAGAGCATATGCTCTAGCTCCTGCTTCGATGTACAGATCCCAATCCTCCCTTTGCCCCTGCCGCTTCGACCACCAATCAGATTGCCACCCCAGGTACGCACACACTCGACGCATTTCCTCCTTGAGCATCACAACCTCCTCAGACCATCGAT